AATTATGCCAACTATAATTGGGATGTGGTTCGAAACTACGACTTTTCTTATAGAAATTAATGTGTAAGTTAAAATAATAAATACTTAACAGAATATTCCGTTACTAAAGTTTATGCTAACGGAATTTAGGTTATTTAAGGGAAGAAAATAATATAATAGAGGGTAAATAAGGAAAATCAATAAAAAATACTAAAATAAAAATAATATGAACCATTAATTTTAAGAAATAATAGTATAATATGAACCATTCATTTTAAGAAACAATAGGACCGACATTTTTTTGTTCCAGTTAAGGGCCTAACATTATTAGCTCTTATTATAATTGTAGAAGATACTGATGTTTTCAATGAATTTACATCAGGATAAATGTACACACTTTTATTGTAAAATGTATTTGTTTAATTATTACAAACTAATTGAAAAGTTATTTTATTTACATTAGAAGGCTTGGGGATTTATATTTCTAACATATTGAAATTAAATCATCACAATACAAAAAATCAAATCAATAAATTCAACTAAAAAAACACTCACCAATGTTACTTAAATATTAATATATATAATAAATTGTAAATATTAACATACTTAATAATAATAAAATAAAAACAATATAATGATGTTTATAATCATTATTTATTTATTTATTCATATATTTAATTATATTTAGTATTTAATCTCTCTCTCTCTGAGAGAGAGAGATTATTTATATAGTTCCATAATTTTCTTAAAATTTATAACTCAAAATTTATTTACTTTACATTTTGTATTATGAAACCTTAATACAAGCCTACAAAGTTTTACACTGAAAAAATAATTATCAATCTTGGTTAAGTAATAATAAATAAGTTAAATTTATTATAAGTACTTAATAAAAAAAAAATGCAACCAATGTTGAAAGTTTCTCTTTTACATTTTAAGTTTTAGTTTTTCTTCAATTTTTTTGATATGGACTTTAGACCGTCTATGTTTACTCTTTTTTATATATATATATATATAAATATTATTATTATTAACTTATACATACAACTTATAAATAGTATAAATAAAATCATAATATATTAAAAAAATAGTACAATGTTTAAAATCTTTAATGAAGATTTGACATAATAATAACATTTACCTAATTTTGTCATTGATTTTGAAACTTATTTATTTTGATTATTTGAGTATTGATTTTATACCTAATTTAGGCATCCGTTACAAAAAAGGGTTAAATATGTATTAAATTCAAGGGGCAATTGAGAAGATAGATTACGTGACTTATGAGCATGCATTGAGAGAACAGAATCAAGTGGCTGATGGCCTAGCTTCTTTGGCCCTCGCTCATCAAGTTGGCCTTTGTATTCTGGATACCCCGCCTCAGGGGATTAAGGAGGCTATGTACAAGGATCAGTCAGGAGTCTGCTTCACTCGTAGGAAGGCAAGACGACATGACAATGGTGGTTCTTAAGTGTTGTTTGGGTATCACCCTCTTTCGGATCAAAAAATAAAAATAAAAAAAATTCAAGGGGCAATTTGAAATTTCAATAATTATTATCTCCTGCATTATTTCAATAGTCATGTACCAATTTGATAATTCACTCTCTTTTTGTGAATTTTGTTATATCTGACATTTTTTTCTTTTAAATTTTTGAACTATGATTAAATATTATTTTACACTTCTCAACCTAAAGATTGAATATGAATATCAAAGCCAAAGTATTCAATACATGCGCTCAAAACATTTCTAAATACACCATCAAGCAAGCATTCTCATGTGCACCGTAAAGCATTTCTAAATGCTCATCCCCTTGTCATCACAATAATTTATAAATGCACTGCCAAGCATTAATGTCAAGTTGATGCCAATTATTTATTGCTTTCGATATAGACTATGTTGATATGCAGAGTATTTTTACACACGGAAAATAACATTTTATTTTTATCCCTCTCATAGTATAAAAACTTTTCTCCTAGTTCTCTCCTTCAAAATATTATTCTACAAATCCGCCATCAAATTATACACTATAAATCATTATACTTTGTATAATAGGTGCTTCAATGCACTAAACACGTTGGGAGAAATCAATTTTATTTTAAAGAAGGGTAAATTAACGATTTGGTCCCTCAATTGTTGGCGAACTATCAATGTAGTCCCTCAATTTCATATTCATCAATTTGAACCCCAAAATCAATTATTTTTGGTCGAATAAGTCCTTCCGGCCGTATTCCGTCGTTCAGCTGGTGAGAGATCCAATTTAACATAGGCATTTTGTTAATTTCACTGTCAACTTCTCCTTTCAAAGATTGCCAACAACTTCCCCGTCTGGTTATGCTCCTGGAGCTTCTTCGCCTAAAGGATCTCCCTCCACTTCACCGTACAACAATGCTCAGCCGCCGAGATGAGAAACCAAGGTCGCCGGAGCTGCTAGAGGTCGCTCGTCGCAGCTGCTACTGAACCACCACTGCTCTACCATATTCACTGGGAAACATGGACTAAATTGCATTTTTAGGCCGTTTTTCGGACTAAGCGGTATGAGAGGGATAGTGTCCTCATTGGGAGAAAATTGCGAGGAATCAGCTAACGAGCTATCATGCTGCTTCACGGTCTCCAACAATTTTTCTATGTCTTTTCTGATTTTCTCTAGGCTCCCATGGATCTCTCTGCGAGCGTCTTCTTTCTGCTTTGCGTTTTGTGCCAGGAGAATGTTTCTGAGTTGAATCTCAATCTCGTATTCTGCTTTAAGAGAAACGTGTTTGATTTGGTTCTCCACGCATTTGATTTCAACATCCTCGAAGGCTTTAATGTGAAATTTCTTCATGAAGGCTTGCAAGGTAGAAATATGTTGGATGAGAGATCTCATATGTTTTAGGTTGTCGGGAAGCACCCGGGGGCTAGGCTGCTGGATCTCAAACTCCATTGTTGCCTTGAGAGAATCTAATACGACGGATGGTCTCCTGTTTCCCGATGAGGTAGCCGGCGATCCTTTCGCAAGAGAAATTCCCGGAGCATTATCGTATAGTGAAGTTGTCGACGATCCTTTAGGAGCTAAAGCTCCTGGAGCTGATAATGAAATGACCAAAATGCCCATGCTAAATTGGGTCTTTCACCGACTGAACGACGGAATATAGTTGGAAGGACTTATTCGACCAAAAATAATTGATTTTAGTGATCAAATTGATGAATATAGAATTGAGGGAGTACATTGACAGTTCGCCAACAATTGAGGAACCAAATTGTTGATTTACCCTTTAAAGAAATATGTGTATGAATGTTTAGATAGAACCTGGGATAAAGATATAATGTATATGTCCATTAAGATGTATATGATGCCTTCATTGACTTTGGTCACATCTATTTTGATGGAGATATTGGAAACGACCTAATAATATGGACCTAGGGTCCCGGAGCGCATAGTCTAGTGCCCAAGAATATAATCTGAGCGACCCAATAAGGGTCCAAAATTCGGAGCCCGCCTTCGGCCCCGGAATGATGGGTCTTGACTTAGTCTCGCCGGCCACCATGTGGACCTTGATTTAGTCTCATGTCTTGTTGCCACATTTCTAGGTTGGTTGTTGGACTTCTTTCTTGTATAAATTAACGTTGAATTGCCCAAGTATTAAACCATCTCCAACCCACTTAACACCAAAACACCAAATTTCTCCACCAAATATCACATCAGAAGGAATATTCTCAACATATTCTCACACTAAATTTTATTCATCTCCAACTCATTTACACCAAAATACAAAAACACCAAATTTCTACACTAAAATAATTTACTTTCTCAATTATTAATTCAAATTTAATTAGTTTAATATAATTTAGTTTAAACTTAATTAGTTTAATATAAAATATAACTTGTGATGTAAATAATACGGAGTAATTTTTATTAACATTAATTTTTAAAGTGGGAGTGGACTAGAAAATTATTATTATTATTATTATTATTATTATTATTATTATTATTATTATTATTATTATTATTATTATTATTATTATTATTATTATTTCAAAGTGAGAGTGTATGTTTATGTATTTTATTTTTTATTATGTTCTAGTTATGTTTGATGTATTTGAAAATTTAATTAATATATGTTCAATATTAGTATTTTTTTTATCGTCTCAATGAGATCTTTAAAATGATATAATTTATATTTATTATTACAAACTTTAAATATAAGTATTTAACAAAATAAAAAATTTACATATAAAATAAATAAGGATACATTTGAAATTATAAAATGAAAAAAGGGTAGGAATGTAATTTGGCAGCACCTCTCATATTTGTCGTGGATGAACAATGTCGCGCCATATATGGCGTGACACTATTCATCAACGCTAAATATTTTGGCGTTATGTCATTTTGCTGCTTCACGTTGGAGATTAGAAATTTGGAGAGATGGCGAGATGACGTTGGTTTTTGCCGATATGCCACCCTCTTGGAAATGCTCTTACAGTTACAGAGACTCAAGTCCCCTACAATACAGAACATGTTCTATTTTATCACAATCTCCTTGTGATACACTTATATCATATCAATCAATGAAATATCATTGCAATTATATTATCCTTACTATTTTCATTCATTGTTATATTTTATGCGAGCTTATTGTTCCGTATAATTAAATACCCCGGATCAATTTTTTTCAAAAATAGTGCTTTCATTGAGAGTCGATTCGTGCTCAAATCCCTTTATTTATGCTCAAATTGAAATTTTAAGTTGAAAATGACGAAAATATCCTTAAAATTTTTAGATTTCGACATGTCTTAAATGAAGGGGTGACTTACGTGATAAATTTTAGTACTAAAATAATAGTCGTGGATGAAAATTGGTACTAAAATAATAGTCGTGGATAAAAATTGATAGGAGTTAAACATATGAACAAAAACCGTAATTTTACTAATACTTCTGGGACCAAAATTAGTATTTGCTCAATAAACTTTTTTAAAAAATAAAAAATTGTAGTCTTGTAGCAGACCGCCGGTCGTGAATCCCGGTTCGGTCCGGGTAATGTTAAGCTACAAAATCGCCCGCGCGCACCGAGATTTGTAAAACCCTAGTACAGTGCAGTGTTGAGCGGGGAGAAAGATCGTCGATCGGTCATCTTCACATCTGCAAAATTACAATGGTGAGATCATAGCAAGCGTTGTTGCCAAAAATTGGTTTTACTGTAATTATTTAGCTTACGATTAACCTCGCGATTGTCAGGCGGACGTTGAGGCTGATGTTGCTACCGGACAGCCGAAGAAGAGAACGTTTAAAAAGTTCAGTTACAGAGGCGTGGATTTGGATGCTCTCCTCGATATGCCGACCGATCAGCTTGTTAACCTCTTCGTGGCTCGTGCTCGCCGGAGGTGCTCTTCTGAGCATACCGATTTTCTCTCAGTGTATAGTTCTACATTTCTGTTTATTTAATAGTGGATTTATTTAATGATAGGTTTCGACGAGGTCTGAAGAGAAAACCAATGGCTCTCATCAAGAAGTTGCGCAAAGCCGTATGTATTCTCTATAACCTTTTCATTTATTCACAGATCTTCAGCAGTATATGTTTATAAATGTATGTGTATGTGTCATGTGTGTATGTATATCTGTACGCCAAAACATGCATTTTCAAGTTATCATGATGTACAATCTCTTGAATGTGGTACTTTGTATTGCCAGAGGTTCCTATATGGACCAGTAAGTGTGTTGCACTTCTAGGTGGATGCTTTGTCATAGATTTTTAATTTGGACCAGTAACTATGGGATGCTTTGTCATAGCTTTTTAATTTCTTCAATGGATAGTTTAACTAAGTCAATTGGAAATTTTGTATTTCTTACTTTTTTTTTTTTTTTACTACAGAGTATATAAAATGCTAGTATTTGCATTTCCATTAATAATACTATAAATTTGGTGTCGAAATATTTCACAAAATTCTTATGTTGCATTCAATCAATCCATTGGGTTTCACTTATAGAATGAGTAGAGAAGTGTATAATTTATAATAATCTCTCTATACCCATTTCTTCTTTCTCACATATATCATTTGAAAAACAAAAGCACGAATTCATGGCAAGCTATGATTTTTGTAATAGTTCTTGAGGTGACATTATTGAGTCAGATAGGGATATTAAACTACTTTGGATGTATTCATGTATACCATGATAAAATGACCAACCTATGATTTGTAGTTACAGTAATTTCAACAACTTGTTTCATTGGGATGAATTCAACTATGAGGTATACTAGAACTGAACATTGTTCACTTAAACTGCCATTCAGTTGATTGCTTTCCTAATTTATTGTTTTGAACTTAGTGAACGAAACGGCATTAATGGAACTTGATGAAGTCGAGCCTGTTTTATGTTCTTAGTGTGTTGACTTTGACCTGGCTATAGAAAACTAGACGAGGCTTTATTGAGTTGTTAATCCTGTCTCTACTTGGACAAGAAAGAAATGAAAGCAAATATTATGATGATTTGAAAGCAATAATATTTCCTACCAAATATTTTTCTCTTCCTCAAATGGGAATAACATGAAGAGGGAATTAGCAGTCTACTCTTTAAAGGCTTAAAGCACATAGTATTTGGAAGCCTCTCTCTTAATGCAAATTTGATTCTCTATATTCCATTATTTCCATTTCCTTAACCATTATCTCCACTCTCTATTCATCCAATGCTTTAGATAATAATCTATAGTACGTAGTAATTGCTATTAATCTTAATCTTGGATGATTCTATGTGTGGTCAAGTTCCATCTTTTGGTGTTGTAATAGAAACCCCGAATTTATCTATGGGAAATCTTTCAAACAATCAAACATGATGACATTGAAAATTACATTGGTGGACTGGCTCCATGTCCATGTGTGTAGACCATGTGAATGAGATTCAACCACATTAGAGTCTTTTACTATAAAATATTGGAATAAGGGTCAAATAGGCCATCGAACTGCACACCATAATGCAATTAGGCCACTGAACCTTAAAAGCCTACAATTCAGTCCATAAACTAACTAATTTCATGCAATTCTTCCAATTTACAAGTTTCCAACATGTCATTCCAAATTAAATTATTTAAAAAAAATAAATTTTAAAAAATAATTATTTAAAATTAAAATTTTAAAAAATAAACAGGACCTCCGGCCGGAGACTAAGAAACTCTTCGTCTTCGGCCGGTTTCTTCGTCTCCGGCCATGAAGACGAAGAAACCGGCCGGAGACAAAGAAGGTTTCTTCGTCTGCGACCGGAGATCCTGTTTTTTTTTTTTTTTAAATAATTATTTTTTAAAACATTTTTTTATAAATAATTTAATTTGGGATGACCTTTTGGAAACCTGCAAATTGGAGGAATTGCATGAAATTGGTTAGTTTAGGGACCCAATGGTAGGTTTTTTAGGTTCAGTGGCCTAATTGCATTATCGTGTGCAGTTCGATGACCTATTTGACCCTTATTCCTAAAATATTTTATATTCTTTATTCTGGCTCCCATGAGAACTATGCCCTAGTTGAGAACCTGTGGACAAATCCAAACCATTGATCTAGTAGATCTAACGGTTGAAAATAAAGAAAAAAAAGGATTGGGTCGTTTTCATAAATATTACAAATTTAAAAAGTTTCTAATATTTATGAAAATGACCCCGCTCCTTTTTTACTTGATTTCCTATCCATCAGATCTTTCGACGGTTTGAATTTGTCCACATGTTCTCACATGGGGATTGGTTCTCATATGAACCGGATTATTATATATATATATATATATATATATATATATATATATATATATATATATATATATATATATTGACACGTTTGTTTCCAAATTTTAATCACATACTCCACATGTTTCATTTTCAACCTGTCTACCCAAGTATTTTCAATGATTTATATGGAAGCTTTATATGATTTAATTTCATTTGAGAATAATAATATTAGGATCTATGATGCAAACTCATAAATAACTAACCAATAGCTATCTAGAGCAGAAAGTGAAATGAGATGGCGATCAGATATTTGATCTCATTAGTCTTTTTTGATACCTAGTTTGGCTGGCTTCAAAAATAACATTGTTGGGAGCTTATTTGTTAAATATATAAATACAAAGTAGTATCATTGCAACATCAAACCATGATCTTGCTTGGAACAATTTAACACAGGCTTGTGTGTTGCGATACTTGAGACATGATTAAGCAGGCAAATCGTTAGCTCAGTTTATTAATCTCCATCCTATGGCCAGAATAACTGAGCCAAACCTAGATCTAAAAGACTTTGACTCCACTGGTGTTTGTCGAATACTTTTCTATTACTTGCCGTGTTTAGCTTTGCAATATAGCTACATGATTAATACTAACTTGAAACTGAGATACTGGAAGATTTGACAGTTTTCCACTGCTGTCGTTTCACAAAAGCACAATATGCTGTAGAAAGTAAAAACATCATTTTTCCAGATGAGATGCTGATGCAAAACTCTAGTTACATTGTATTTAGAGTGTCTAGTAGGTGCCTAAATGCTTCCTTCCAAATTTTGGCAAGATGGCCACTTGGATGCACAGAGTGGTAACTAATGAAGACAATTAGACACCCCTATGTTTTGGTTACTTTTGTTGTTTATCTGAATATTCATTCTTCTAGTACTTTAGCAATCATCTCTAATATTGTGGCTCCATGCAGAAACTCGAGGCACCACCTGGTGAGAAACCAGAGCCTGTTAAGACTCACCTCCGGAACATGATCATTGTTCCCGAAATGATTGGAAGTGTCATCGGTGTTTACAATGGCAAGACCTTCAATCAGATAGAGGTGAAACCTGAAATGATTGGTCACTACCTAGCCGAATTCTCCATCAGTTATAAGCCTGTGAAGCACGGCAGGCCTGGTATTGGTGCCACCCACTCTTCCCGGTTCATCCCTCTCAAGTGAGATGCATTTACTCCAATATATACTTATGCTATAATAACATGGCCGCCATTCGAACCTTCCATTTTTGCAATTTGTGATTTTGCATTGTTTTTACCTAATCTGAATTTAGGAAAGACTTTATCCCTTTCATGCTCTGTTGGGATGGTTATTGTACTTTGATGTTGATCTTTTGATTAGTGTAGGATTCACAACAAAAAAAAAAAACAAATTTATGAAAGCTAAACTATAATGGTTAGTAGAAGTTTGCTATTTAATCTACTACGGAAGCTAGTTTCATGATTAATTGAATATTAATCTGTATTAAGGGTAGGTAAAAAATGGACTGATTAATTTTATAATTATACTTTAACATATTTGTACATGCCATTTGAATTTTAATAAATTTTCAAGTACAAATCAGTAATATTAAAATGACTTGTGTTTTAATCTGACATAACCATTAATTAATTTCATTTGATTTGATTGGAATAAGAAATGACATAATTTTTCTGTTTTGGTGCTCTAAATTCTCTCAGATTTAAAGAAGCATGTCTCTTGCCATTGGTCTAGTGGATGAAAATTGGATTAAGTTTTTTTTTTTTTTGGTGCTTTTTATTTTGTATAAAAGTATAAAATTTGGGGTTGAGTTTTTTTTTTTTTTTTTTTTTTTTTTTTTGAAACGGAAAGAAAATTCATTAAATTAACCTCGAAATACAATCAGGAGGGTGAGTAATCCACACCCCAAGGACAGAAGAGGAACCGGCAGCCTGCGCGAGCGCATGGGCCACATGATTCGCTGGCCTTTTTACGTGGTGAACCAGAATGTTCCCAACGTTTCTTACAATGTCACGGCATTGTTTGATAACCAAACCTACATAGGACAAATCTTGACTAACCGAATTAAAATTGTTACAAAAATTTAAGCAAGTCGGTCTCCAAAATGTAATTCGCTGGAGATCTGGACTTGATCCATGTTAAAGCTTCTTTGATTGCTAAAGCTTCCGCACAGTATGGTCCATGAACACCTTGAAGTCTTCCGCTTCGGGCAGCCACAAAATGTCCCAAGTGATCCCGGATTATTGCTCCATAAAAAATGCCGCTAGCAGACACGACCGCATCTATGTTGCATTTCAGGGATCCGGTCGGTGGTGGCGTCCATGTCGGCGGTAAAGAGACTATCCGGAGGCGGCCATTGTTCGCCGGTGACAAAATTTCCATCCAGGTTGCAGCAAGCTCAGCTACCTGACGCTTAAGCCCTTCCACGGTCCAAGCCTTATCATGCCAAATAACATTATTTCTTGTATTCCAGATCACCAAAGTCCGCGCCGCTAAATACACCAAAGATGACTGGGACAGTGTTGTTAACGCAGTATTAATATAACCTGCAAACGTCGATCCTTGGAGGATGTTGTCCGTCCCCCATAGATGCCTCACGACTAAACACTCAAGAAATAAATGCTCGATCGTTTCGACATCGGATGTGCATAGAGGACAGCCGCCTCCTATCCAAATTCCTTTCATCTTCAGACTCTCACGAACTGGCAGAATTCCCCAGACGCCGCGCCATAACAGGTTGATTACTTTTGGTGGGACTGGAATATTCCAGAGTTTCCTCCATTCAGTGAATTCGTGGGATGAATTTTGAGTCAGTGTCGCAGCTGTCAAAGTCTGGTAACCTTGTTTAACCGAGTATAGGCCTCTCATATCGTTCGCCCAACACCAAGAATCAGGGTAGTGTATGGATATTGGAGTTTTAATAATTCTCTCCACGTCCTGCAACGAAAATATATCTCTGAGGACCTCTAGATCCCAATCACCTTCTTCGGTCATCAGTTGGCTTACCTTGGTATGCCGCAAAGGTTCAGCGCAAGGCGTAGATAGAGGAACGTTGCAAGCATCAGCTACCCAATTATGGCCCCACACTAGTGTGCCGTTGCCGTCCCCAATCCGTCGAATGAGTCCCTGGTGTAACAGTTCCCGGCCTGCTAGAATGCTCCTCCAAAGGTAGCTCGGATTATTGCCACTATTTGCCTCAAGAAAATCGGTGTTAGGGAAATACCTCGCTTTTAGGAGCCGGCTTACTAATGAGTTTGGCCGAGTAATAAGTCGCCACCCTTGCTTAGCCAGGAGCGCTCTATTGAATTCATTGAGACGCTTGAAACCCATTCCACCGAAGTGTTTAGGAACTGCTAAACGAGACCAGGACATCCAGTGTATGCCTCGGCCGTTGGTAGACCCGTTCTTCCACCAAAACTGGTTCATCATTTTCTCAATCGAGTCGCAGACGCTTCTCGGGAGTAGAAACACTGACATGGCAAATATCGGCATAGACTGTGCAATACTCTTCAGAAGTACTTCTTTCCCGGCCCTGGACAACAATTTCTTCTGCCATGTACATATCCTGTCACGCAGTGGCTGTTCAATAAATTTAAAAACCAGAGATTTGTTGCGACCCAGAAAGGATGGTAAGCCTAAATACCTTCCAAAATCTTCGACTTGTTGTACCCCAAAAATTCCGGACACCTGTTCTCGTATGCCCGGCTCTGTGTTAGCACTGAACATTATGTTGGATTTAGCATAATTAATCACTTGACCTGAAACGCAACTGTACAATTTTAGGCATTCTTGCACTTTTTGCGCTTCCCCTATAGTTGCCTTGAAAAAAAGCATACTATCGTCGGCAAAAAAGAGGTTTGATACAGGCGGGGCTGTCCTAGACACCCGAATGCCATGTATATTACCTCGAGTCTCTTCCTGTTGTAGAAGTAGAGACAACCCTTCCGCGCATATTATAAATAAATACGGGGAAATTGGATCACCTTGGCGGATACCCCGAGTTGACACCACCGACCCCACCACATCTCAATTAACCACAATATTGTATGTGACCGAGTTCACACATAAGAGCACGAGATTAACCCATTTACGGGCAAATTTGGAGTTGAGTTTTGAAATTAGATTAATTTGATTTACTTTCTCCAATCTATTTAAGATGGGTTAATGAGATCAAAACTTGATTTATATTTTTTTTTTAAAATCTAAGGAGGCATAGGCATAGTAGCATCGGCATGGGGAGTGTCGTCATGTAGGGTCACAAAGATAGATAAAAGTAGAGTCCCAGGTTGCCGGCTGGTCTGCATAAACTGGAATTCAGCGTCACGTGCTGCCCTCGCCGCCATTTCCGTGTTTGTTTAACTCACCGCGTCAAATCATAGGACACATTGCATTCCAAAATCCTAAATATTTATTTAAAAAATATTTTAATGGCATGTTTGGTACAATGTAATTTGATTGTAAATGAATTAAAATTTCATGAACAAAGTGAATTACATTTTTGGTTGAAGGGACAATTTCGCCGAATTATAATTCTCACTTTTTGTTGAATTGCAATTCATGAGGTACCCTCTAAACCCTAAACTCTACATAAATTGCAATTCAGTGGATGCGAGGAAGAAAAAAAGATGAAATAACATTACTATCTTTGGTTATTATTATTATTATTATTATTATTATTATTATTATTATTAGAGAAAAGGGTCAAATAGACCCTTAAACTTTAGCTTAAAAGTCAATTAGGCTCTTAAACTTTTTAAAGGTGCAATTACACCCATCAACTATTCATTTAGGTGCAATGAAGCCCAAAATTAGGTTAATGACCTGCTATCACAGGTCATTAGGGTTCAGGCCACCTTCTGACGAATTTTTCGACAAAAAAAAAATGACATTCTCCGTGACCGGCGACCGTTTGTCGGTCGCTGGTTACTTTTTTTGCCCGGAAATTTCGTCGGTCGGTCATCAGTCACTTTTTTCCTGTTGGAAAATTCGTTAGAAGGTGACCTGAACCCTAATGACCTGTGATAGCAGGTCGTTAAATTGATTTTGGGCTTCATTGCACCTTAATGAATTGTTGATGGGTGCAATTGCACCTTTAAAAAATTTAGGGGCCTAATTGACTTTTAAGCTAAAGTTCGATGGCCTATTTGACCTTTTTCCCTTATTATTATTATTATTATTATTACACAACAGTATTTTAGTCATTATACCACTCATTTTCTTCTCAATTTCAATGGTATCTCCTTACCAAACAACGTAATTTGAATTCCTACTTTATTCACATCTTATTCTTTTCGGATGTTCATACTAAATTATAATTTCTTTCTCTCATAATTCGTTGTTTCTAACCAACCGCCCTCTAATGTCAAAGCCACACATTGCTTTAAACAAATACTCCGTATTTTTTTTTTTTGGACTTAGGCTTGTTTGAAGCCGCCATTGACTCTCCCCGGAGTGTACTGTGGGGTGGGAATATTTCTTTTTTCCCTCGTGCTCTAATCCCAATATAATCCACTTTTTCAATTAATACATAAGTAGTGCTTGGAAAGACTTGTGTGGCAGAAGAAATAGATGCCCAACCTATACTAGTTGATTGAATGACTTTAGAGCGAGACAATTACAAAGAGAAAATAAAACACGTGATCAAATTTTAGAATATATTATTAAATTAATTATTACACAAATAACAAAGATAAAAGATGAGGAACAATTACAACGAAGTTAATCGAACAATTGACTTGATAATTACAAAATTTTAAGTTGGACCCCTTTGGGAGCTTCTTGATTTGAGCCGTTTACACTCAGTGAGGACTAAATTTACATTTTGATTGTAAGTTTGTAACTATAGAACTAAAATTGTCATTTTTCTTTGAAAAAATAATTTGTGAAATAAATCATGTAAACATCATTATCTATATGCTATACTCATCGTTTTTGAGTGTTTGCTCAGTCTTTGAATCTTTAGCATAGTTTGTTAGATGATAAGTTGTGCGCCTCTTGACCGTTCGAAGATTTGCTCTTTAAGTGACTAGTTTAGTTTGAGTATAATCTTTTCCTTCTACCCCTTCAAAAATTAAAAAAAAATAAAATAAAAATAAAACAAAGAGTTAAGACATATACCTACAAAGAATTATATAAATAATTTAACTTCGTTTTCACAATAAAATTTTAATAACTTTAATTTTATCCAAGTTTGAATTATTTTTAACATGCCATGTTTAATTATTATTTTTGTTATAAAATAAAAGTATTTGGTTTTGTTAAAATCGCGTGACAGAATGAGATTAAAGCATCTACTTCTATAGTTCTATGCCATTTATTAAGGCACTTTGGATGATCTAAATTCCAAGTTTTACGTAAATGATGACGCAATTCTATTCATATCCACATTTGTTTTTTATTATAATTAAAAAAAATTATTTGTTGGATGACGAGTCAAACATGCCATCATTATTTGAATATGTGAAAAATCTGCTACTGCGTAATAGCCTTGAAATTATACGAAAAATGTAAACTGCACTAAGAAAATCATATGCGACAAACTTAAAAGATATAAGAGTCATATCACACATACTCGACAACTCTTTCGATACTCTTTTACAAATTTATTTTTACGTTAATTTCACTTTTTAGAATTTTTTTTTTAATAAATTCACTTTTTAGGATTTAGGAACACAAGCATTTCAATACTTTTTTTTTTTTTTTTTAAAGAATTTTATGTCCACTTATTAGTTTTATGGTTGGCCATCACACTCTTTGACCGGTACCTTCAGATTCATTTGTGTGTACTTTGTACCTGTACATAAGAACATACTCCGTAACTTCTTTTTTTCCCACATTTTAAAAATTTTTATGAGAAAAAGCTAATGTAATATAATGTTGACTAAATAATTAAGTGATGTGTGTTGAAAAATGTTATTTTCACAAATTAAAATCACTTCTTGATGTTTACCAATATCGATAATATTAGATTACCGTTAACATTTTATTGCTAATTGTGGGAGGTAATTGTGGCATATTTTAACTTAAAAATTGTCGCATTGAATTTTTACCGATTGTATATAAATTGTATTAATGCTTATTTGTTTTTTTATCCGATCATTTTATATTATCACTCTAAACTTCTGCTCACTTTATCAGTACTGCATTTTCTAGAACCTATAAAGTTATTTTTAATTTTTATATGTAAATTAAAGTAACAAGTTATATATATTGATGATGAGACCAAAGGATTGGGTCAAAATGTTAATTTTTTTTAATAAATAAATGGATAGATTAACATTAAAAAAAATATAGGTTAAATTAAAAAAAAAAAAGTGATAACATTGATTGCTCAATGATAACATAGGAACCAAAATAATATTTTAACCATACAAAATTTAATACATATAACATTACTTTTAGTTATTAGATTGTTGTTGAAACAATGCAAAAAAAAAAAAAAAAAAAAAAAAAAAAAGAAGAAGAAGAAGAAGAAAGTAAGAAAGATATATAACCATATAAAAAATGCTTATTAGATTGAATCGTATTATGGTTTGACATAAATATAATTCTCTCCCGCTATGGTTGATATAACTATTATATTACTTTTATGTTGCATGTGAAACTAGTAGAATGTAGGTAGAATTTGTCTAATACTTGACTTTTGCGCAATTAGATGGTATTCAATTTTCTGTAGTAAGATTATGGCATCCCAACAGTGCTTAATAGTATGGTTTTTGAGAAGCCCATGCTGAAGTGAAGGAGAGAGTAAACGAAATCTCATATGAAGGAGCTTGATTTTTGTCAATACAATGGGCCCCACCAAGAAAGGAGACAGGCAGTTGTGCCTCGCATGACGCGCAACTCGAGCACGTAAATCTTTCCTAATCATACATGCAAAAACTCTTTAAAAACTATAACTATTGATGATACTCTTAGTGCAAAATCAGTTTTTGTTTAAATAACCTAGGCCAAATGTGGCTAGGTGTTATCGTTATAAATTGCTATTTAATTATAAATCAAACTACTTCAACAATTTTTGTTAAGAATAATAAAGTAGTCATTACTCTAAAATATTCACGGGATAAATTATGTTCTATTTAATAGTTTACAAATTACATCGAATGAATAAAATATACTACTAAAAATATATCAATTATCTAATTTGACTAGATCGCTACTTTATATGCACACTAAACAAACTTGCATAATACGTAGTGATTCTAATGAAAAATGTTACATTTATTAAACGTGTCATTAATGGATTAGTTCAAATAATAGTCCAAAATTGATTCCCCAGACCAGTTTTGAATTAACACGGAAGTAGAAGAAATGGATCAAATTCGTCGCACCAAAAAGAGATGAAAAAATCGAGGCACACATTTGGTCAAAATTTCGCAATTGGGATATACATACATACATACATATATATATATATATATATATATATATATATATATATATATATATATATATATATATATATGGATTATTCTACGACGACTCACCATGAATGCTACACTGAACGGCTACTGCGTACTGACAAGAGTCACTGCCCGCAGTAAATTGACTTCCTAGCTCTAAGTTTGACTAAAATTGTACGGAGTTTTTTTTTTTTTTTTTTTTAATAAGATTTACGAAAATTATACTACATAACTAGGAGTGTTAGCGAAAAGAACTTTTGATAAACTACTTGTATTTGTGTTCGGAAAGTGTTCGTTTATTAAGGTAAATGAACATTAACAAACAAAATTTAGAGCTCGATTTATAAATGAACAGAATCTGAACAGTTGTAAGTTCGTTTGCTAAGAGATCGTGAACAAACTCGTTTGTGGTCGTTTAATAATGTTCGTGAACAAGCTCGTTTAGTGTTCGTTTAATAATGTTCGTGAACAAGCTAATTTGTGTTCGTTTAGTATTTGTTTGTAGTTGTGTTACTTGTTTGGTTATTTTATGTGAACATATATTATTTCTTGTTCATGAATGGATTGTAATTATGAACATGTTCATATATTTAGTCATTAAGCATTCACGTTAAGCGTTCATTAGTATTTGTTAACATTCGCGAACATATTCAAAAACTTTAACAAACAAAAATGAACAATCTCCGTTCATTTATGTTCGATTCGTTAACAGCCCTATACACAATAGTGGAGTAATTAGCCTAGGAACTTGATCAAAGTGGTGTAATCAAATTACAATTCAGTTGAAAGAATGTAGACGAGAATTGAATAATTTCACACATTCAATCATATTTTCAGGACTAACTCAAAATTTTTTGTACTCACTTTGTCACATTTTACCTCTCATACTTACTATTCATTTAACAATTTTTTTTTATATGTATGGAATATTATTGATTATTTTTAAATTTAATTTGTGTGGTTAATAATACTTTTATATATATAAATTTTACTCCGTATATATTAATACTAAATTTAACATAATATAAAAAAATTAAATTAAAAATAACTTAACTAAGTTTTTCCCGTCTATAAATGCACACCATAATCGCACTCGCTCCTAACTCTCTCTCTCTCTTACTCTTTTTCTCTTCTGTTTACACCTTGTTTTGCGGTTTGTCAGACTAATGGTGGCCGGTAATACAACCGAACGAGGAACCGTTCAGGGAGTATCGCCGGCGGGGAGATCCGCGAAGGAGTCTCATCACTTTCGAGGCGTGCGGAAGCGGCCGTGGGGAAGATACGCCGCAGAGATTCGCGATCCTTGGACGAAGACACGGCGGTGGCTCGGCACCTTCGACACGGCGGAAGAGGCCGCCCGCGCCTACGACGAGGCGGCGAGGAGTCTCCGCGGTACCAAGGCCAAAACTAACTTCGACCTCGACGGTCTATCCTGCTTCTCTCCGGTGCATGCGGAGCCTGCTCCTATCGTTCCAGACTTCAGCTCAGCAACAACCGTCCCGCAGTGGCTCCCGCCGCCGTGGTTTCCAAGCGCCGCCGAGGATACGCCGCCGCGTTCGGAGTACACAGGATATAAGCTGGAGACGGTAGTCGGTGTGGTTACGAGTGAGCGTGAAAAGCAGCTCAGAACTGAGAAGAAAGTCAAGAAACCGCTCTCGTTCGATCTGAACTCACCGCCGCCGCTCCTATGATGGGCCGTGCAATAGCCCAAAGTCTAGGCCGTGGGCCGACTTATTTTGTTGATATAATGTTCTATGTTAATGGGCCTAGCCCTTCTTATAGGTTTGTCAATGGAGTTCAGCCCATTTCTGCTCACTAGCCCAATAGAAAATTTGCATTGGCTTTTGTGTTTTGCTCAAATAGCCATGGGAAATTGCCTAAAAAAGCAATTTAAAGTTCAAAGTTCTCAAACACATGATTAGGAGACTAAAGTATGAAGAAAAATAGAAAATGACCAAAGATAATTTTATCTGAATTATTAGAAAAAATAGTATTTATTATTTAAAAAAAAATGATATCATAACATTGTAATCTTTTTGGTGCCCACAGGATATGGTAAGAATTTGCATAATCATGTTTATATACTACTGTAGATTAAGTTTACCTTTTTCAAGAACATTAAAAAAAATGTGAAAATTAGTAATAGTGTTGTTTTAGTTTGGTTTCTTTGATTTCCCTCTCTCGCGTCCACCTACCACCAGTTTCTTCAGAGACTTTAACAACCGTAACCAGTGATACTTTTGTTGCTCAGTTACATCGAGCGGAAGCGAGTTTTCATCTGCAAATCTGCAATGCAAAGCGGTTACCACTCATTTCCGGCGAGCGGCGCCTCCCCAATCCTTAGCCCTACCAAGTCCAGGACGCAGTCGTGCTTCGCGCCGCTGCGGCCGTGGCGGCAGCTCATCGGTAACCTATCTTCGTACTCTCGTCCGCTCTCGCTCCCCGATCTCGCGGCGAGGCTCCGACGGAACCTCTACTATTTCCGCGTCAACTACGCCGTCGTAATGCTTCTCGTACTCTTCCTCAGCCTCATCTGGCACCCTGTCTCGATGATAGTCTTCTTAGTCGTCTTCGTCGCCTGGCTCTCCCTCTACTTCTTCCGCGAAGAGCCGCTGGTTATCTTCAATCAGACGTTCGAGGATAGGGCGGTGTTGAGCGTTCTCAGCGTAGTCACGGTGGTGAGCTTGGGGATGACCGGCGTTTCGCTCAACGTTTTCCTGTCCGTTTTGATAGGGGCGGCGGTTGTTACCCTGCACGCGGCGTTTAGAGCCACTGAAGATTTGTATCTCGAAGAAGATGAAGCTGCCGGCGGCGCAATGCTCCCCCCCTTCTTTGGTACCACCTCTCGAGTGGTCCCCACTAGGGTAGTGTTGGTTTGAAAAGCTTTTGTAACACTTGCTTTCATCATATTTCATATGGAAATACCCAATTTGGGTTTTGCGCAAATTATTAACAGTTATACTCTATATATCCTTCAACAATATGAAGTAATCAAAAGCGCAAATTATTAACAGTTATGCTCTATATATCCTTCAACAATATGAAGTAATCAAAAGTAGGGAAACCACTCAAAATAGTAGCACTACTAAGAGTCTTAGATTGATAGAATGATAGCTAGAGAGTACAATAGGGTACAATTTATCATACAATACCACAGTAAACACAACAAACACACATTGAGAACCTATCCTAAACGCCTCTGTGCTAGTTCAATGGGCAATCCATATTTCCATACTTTGTTGGGTGCAAACGCAATCAAGATTATTGAAAGAACAGAGAGAGCAGGAAAATGAAAATCGAGTGTCTTCAAGAAGAAGGAACTCTCGGACCATATGCTAACACCAATTCTTCGCCGTTGTTGAAACGGCAGGAGAAAGCGGGAAAAAGAAAAAAATGAATGGCTTCAAGAAGCTGGAACTCTGCGACCATAAACCAACACCATCACGAACTCTTTTGCTGATGTACCAATCCTTGCTGGTAGCCTGTCTGAACTTGCTGTTTGGAGCCACAAATCAACTAAATTATTCAGCTGCAATGTTGGGACTACCGACTGCCCCATGCATCTAATCTCAACCTGTGTATAAATCAAATTGTTGTTGTCAGCACAGTGTAAGACTGAAAATTTGATGACTATAGTATCTGCACTTATTGTACTCGTGTCTCCTAGTAAAGACATGATCTTTTCAAGACGTGCTACTAATAGGCGATTGGAGGTATAGACGATGCTGAAGCCCATACATTCATTGTGAAAACAAACAACCCATTTGACTACTTTAGTTTGGTGAATCTAAGACCTTGTTAAATTCAACTGAGTAACAAAGATACCTCTAATCACAAATGAGTTTCACATTCCCAGATTGAATTAGCTAAGATCACACATGATTGCTAACAAAAATCCAAAAAATAAATAACCAAATGATGAGGGACATACCTCATCATCACTCATGAGGTCCAACTTCCGCACAAGGTACTTTTGGATGAAAGAAACTGGAATGCTCCCATCCCTGCCAGAAAACAACCAAATAAACACACAAGCCATCTTGAATCACTCAAGTCGTACCATATCAATGAAAAAAAGAGTCGGGCATGTCACCAGGTTCCTCATCCCCATTTTAGGGTAATGGATTTCAATTTCAATACTTCCTCAATTTTTATTCTATATTATTTATTCACTGGATGTTATATGTGTTTCATTAAAATCCTGTGCAGCTTCAACTTAATTGGAAGCACTGAAACTGAAATCTAAATCTTGAACATATTTATACAAGAAATCACTTAATTGTCATTATTTTCCTCCCTTTCAAGAAAGTGAAGGCACAAGAACTGATATCATTCATGACAGCTCACTGATAACAGTAATAAATATGGTACTTCAAATATATATAAAGCAAAAGCAAACTGAGTTTACTTAAGGCATTTAGAATTTGTCTGGAGATTAAAACAAGCCTAGTATATAACCCAAGAGATTATGGGAATTGGTAAATAGTTTTACAAATGTGTAAGATGATGGTCCCTTTGCATGAGAATTCTCTCAAACACATAGCATGATAATGTGAGACTACACTAAAGAAGTATGCTGATAACCCAAGAGATACTTGGTTTTTGTTTTCCAAAAACAATCTTCTCTGTGGTGTTACTTGCCCTTCTAGTGTGTTCAGCTTCCTTATCAGATGTGTGATGGTCTGTACTAATTTTGGGGCCTAAGAACCCAGCTGACAGAAACAGACCCCGATTTTACAGCTTTGGAACACTGTAAAGCTGATTTTCAGCAAGAAACTAATACTCCGCATACAGGGACAATAGATTACAAGAATTGTTTTTGCTGAATATTTAAAAGTAAATAGAAACTGATCCTATGTTAAAATTTCAGCATAGTCCACAATAGACACTGCCTACTGTGAAAAGAAACAATGCAGATTTCGGTAACAAAACAAACACTGACAAGAGTAATATCAAAATAGTATGTTAAATGAAATTTAAAAAGATCTATTTTGTGGGATACTCACCAAACTAATTTTGTCTACAAGAGAACAATTTGAGTCAAGAGTGTACAGACTCTATAGAGCAGCCTACATAATACTAAAACAACTTCACAGAGCTGCACTGGGGTATAATACACATTTGGAGTTCTTTTTATTTACCCTCTTATGGGATCTTAGAACACCATATAGATTGCACCTAATCAATTATCTACTTGATGATCATTGGATCAAGGGTATTTCCTTTCTAATGAATATCTAAAAGTCAAAGAAATTAATCTGAAAAAAAAAAAATCACTGTAAAATGTATGTTTAAACCTCAAAAGTCAGGCATTGCAATGGAGTATAAATTTGTCAAGTTAGCATCACCAACCTAGCTATGAAAAGGACAGAATAAAAAGGTACTCACTTAATTCTCAAGTAATTTGCAGAGATCTGAGGCAAGGGTGCATCTCCTTCCCTGAACAAATGATTGGAGAATATGAGAACAAGCAGGAGATAACATGAGTAAATGTAAATGCTGTATCAAAATTCAAAATTAATAAATTAATAGAGATAAAGCAGATCCTCACTGGTCTTGAGATGCCACTAACGAGAACCAAATTGGATTAATCCTTCTTTCAAATTTAGCACTTGCATTATCAATTACAGCATTAGGGAATATATTAAAGTCCCGAAAAGTTGGTGCCTTCTTTCGAATTCTTCGCAATTTTTTAGGTTTTTCTGATTCTGGAGGAGTAGAACCACTGTTAATCTTTTCATCTTGAACTTTCAACTTGTGTCCATGCTCTTTAACTTTAGTTTTACGGGCATGACCATCAATGTCGGCAACATGTGAAGGTTCTGATTTTACAGCAGAACCCTGTGGCATAAACCTTGAAGATTTACTTCGATTTGCAGCTTCGACCAAACAATTTAATGGTCTCCACATATCGACTTTCCCTTTCCACTGTTCAGCGTCATTTTCTGTTTCTTTATCGGGTGTAGGATGGTTATCTGGCTCAGCATTGGTAACATTCTAGAAAAGGAACATAAAAAAAAGTATAAACATAATGCTGAGAAAAGGGAAACACCATAAGAAGCACAATACGGTACATGCCAAGTATCAAGACAACATTATTCTACCTGTCTCACATTCTGGGTGAATTTGTCCAGAGTCTCAGGTGACGTAGAGTTCTCAGGCTGATCTTCAGCAGAGCCCTCCTCTTTGTTTATAAGCTTCTCAATAGAAAAAGTGGATCCTCGTAATGGTTTTCTAGCAATAGACTTTGATCTTCTTCCAGTCATCCCAGACTGTGCGGATACCCTGGGTGTGCTAACCACTAATGATGACAGTGATCTCTCCTTTCGCCTCACTGGTAATGTAACTGAAGGCACAAGTTCAGGTGCCTTCACCTTTTGCCTCTTATAAGGGAAGACCTTGGCCCTTACATCTTGCAAATTATGATCTGGCCTGGAACCAAAAAGAGCAATTGATTAATTCCAACCATCATATTCCATATATGTGAATTTCATACCAACAAAAGCACGTGCATACATGCATGCAAAAGGAGGAAGAGCTAATGTTGGTAAATAGACATTAAAAGTCAAGTAAAGACTGATGCAAATGGAGTGAGAAAAGGACTATACACCCTATCTATTATCAAGTTCCTCCTTAGTGGCTATTTCTATACCCTATACACAACTTTCCATTTTAATTGAGAAATCAACATAATCACCTAAGTGAGTCTCTCACTCTGACACATTCAAGATCTCAGTACAAAATTTTGTGGAAGGGAGTGTTAAAATCATAGTTGATCACTATGGTCTTAGCTCAGCTTCTTATATTTATCCAATCAATAGATTTCATCTCATCACATCATCATAAAGGGCATCCTGTCATTCCTTTTACCTCCTACACTGCATTGTCATTAACTCCTGTACTAAAGAAACTACAAGGGCACCAAAAATTCGGTTATTATTGGAATCCAAACAAATCAACATCAAAGTTTAAAAAAGAGTGACTTGGTGGAAAGAACTTGAAAACCACAGAGGCACAGAAATACCTATCCGCATCTCCCCTGAATTTTTTTTGTATATTACCATGTTAAGAGTCATAAGTTCCACTTATTCATTTCAAATTGCTGTTAGATTTAAATATGGTTGGCAGTAGATAAACGTGTCTTGACAAAATCCCAAGACTACATTAAGAATACATTTTGATGTTTAAGAATTAGGAGAGAAAGTGAAGAGATGGTGAGGAGTTATGGAAAATTGGAAAGAGTCTGATGTTTAAGAATACATTTTGATGTTTAAGAATTAGGAGAGAAAGTGAAGAGATGGTGAGGAGTTATGGAAAATTGGAAAGAGTCTGACCTCAGTTTCTCCACTGGGGCACAACCCAAGTCAATGTTGCATATTGGGCAACATTCCGACTCCTCATCTGAGAGCTTCTTATATATACATTTCCTGCAAACTGGGTAAAGTTTCACCAGGTGGACTGTCAAAGGATTTCTATCCACAAGACAAACCTTACCAATTTCAAATATATGTCATGTAGCATTCATTGCAGCTTGATTTTTCAACCATATCAAAATGAAGAACAATAAAGCATTAAAAAAAATTATTAGACATTCAAATTAATCCACAAATACTCAAAATAAAACAACTACAAAATTTAGCTCGTTGACCTATATTTTCAAACTGAGATTTTAGTTCTTCAAAAGTAAGCATATTGAAATACACTCAGTTCATCAAAAATTAATACGGGTGAACAGATACCAAACATCCAGATCACTAAAAGGCAATCAAAGTTTAACCCAGATAACCCAATGCAAATATAGCAACCCCAGATCGTATACAACACACACATCAATTCACCAGAAAATCAACGACAAATCGAATTCAAATAATATCGAATCACGAACTCAACGAAAATTGAATTGAAGTGAAAGGGAGAGAATCATAGAGGGAGACAAATAGAGGCTCACACGTATGAAGGCATTCGGAAATGGTAGTCGCGTCTCTGAAGAGCTTATTGCAAAGAGGGCATGTCATGCATGCCGCAATCGTCTCTCTCCTCACCTTCACCACTTGATTCGACATCTCACCTTCTCTCTTTCTCTCTCCCTTCTTCACTCTATCAGCCCTCTCGACTCTTCACTCTCGAACTGTACCTTCGAAACCCCTCTCTCCTCAGAGGCCGTCAAATCTCGACGTAGTCAAACGGTGCATGCTAGCAACAGCACATGAAACATGCGATTTACGTCCGAAATTCCCCCCATCCGTTGCATACATTATACGCTCAAACACAACATACGAAATTATAATACAGTACAACGAAATGCAATAGATTCGAGTCTACACAGGTGAAAAAACCTCGGAATATCCGGATTGAGGATTGGATCGATTGCGGCCGGTGAGTCGGCGGCGGAAGGAGGTTGCGCCGGAGATGATCTCTGTCCGTTTGCGGATCTTTGGAGACGAAATCGAGAGAGGCGTCTGCTCATAATGGCATGAGCTCAAATGCAGTAAATTCTTCCCATTTTATCTCGTACGAAATTTATAAATTTTTTTTTTTCTCTCCATTTTTCAGTACCTAATTTAATTTCTCCTTTTTTTATATATATTTTCCGGACGGAGATATAATGCGCCGGGTCAATGACTTGCGAGACGGGCAGGGGAGGTGTGAACCTGCGCGTGGACGGCGCATGTTAGCTCAATGATGGGGTTATGCTGACTCGGATATTTATTTATTTTTTCTTTTTGAGGAAGTGATAAATCCGCCGCGTCACCCAACGACGGGGGCGTGAAACACACTCGTCGTTTTCGGGATAAAAATGTTGGAAGGGAATGAACCAAACGCAAAGTTAAGGAAGAGGGAAAAAGTACAGTCGGAGTGATAAAGCGTGTTAGCTGGGTTCGACGTTAGGTACAATGATGTGGGAAATGATGAACAACGCGTAACAAAATAATGAACCTTCTTTTTTATAACTAATGATTATCTGTCATGTCAATGAAATTCAATTATTTAAATAAACTATGTAAAAAAACTTATACAAATATACAATACTCGATCAGTCAATAGTGATTGAGATTCAAGAGGACTGATCTATAACTACAAACATTTTGCATCGAATCGAATGGGCTAACCTACACTTATCTAGTTAACAAGATACTTTGTCACAATGGTATTGTACTATCACACACTCGATCATTATCGGTGTTAAATGTGTCTTATACAATTAAAAATAATATACTTAGTTATATGTATTACTACTAATAGCATTAAAATTTTTATAAAATCACACATATAATAATGTGTTTGGTTAAAGTAATATATGAAAATGTATGGTGTTGATTATTATTCAAAATTTCAAAGTCCATTGTGACATTATTTATTGGGTTTGAATTTTGAACCAACAAAATTGTCAATATAAATGGCTTTATATAATTCTATATATATAGGTAGGCTTCTAAAAAATGTTGAGTAACAACTCAAATTTTTTACTTCAAACTTTAATTTATTTTTATTTCAAAAGAGAAAAAATATTATCCATTCATGTTTTTTGGATTAATAATTTAATTTGATATATTGGGGCACATAACACTGCACATGCATTTCACATGGCTCGAAAGAAACCTCAGATGAGTAAAGCATGATTTTTGTAACAGAAAGTTACAAATTTGATTAGTATCCAAACTCTCTCAGTTATATGGGAATAATGAGAAATTCATCCTACGGTCTATCTTTCTTGTATGATTACAGACTATTATTCCGAATATAATAAGAATATTTACACACCCTTGCATACTAGTCATGAGTTTCCCTCGTCCTACAACACGTGGATTTCACGTGCCTGATCAGATTGGCTAAATTTTCAATGATTACTTCTTCAATTATTATACACTGAAATAGCGGTACAATCAAGAAACGGATGCAGAAAAACAATAATCTGGAATTATGCACAGATGAATATAATTGACGGCAGAAAGAGATCGATTCATGCATGTATATATCAAGATCCCACCAGGCCCCTGTGTCGAGCGTATACGATTATGGATATGAAGAGGGAAGCACAGATCATGGAAGTGAAGATAACCACCTGCACAGAACTTCATCATGTTACATCGGAATCCCAGAACAAATGCAAAACCACTGTCGTCAATGGCGGCTAGCTGTTTAAGGATGCATATATACGTACCCATTTGAAAAGATAACCGTGATTTTCATTCCATTGATGTGGGATGTTCATGCCGAAAATGGCAGCCACCATTGAGTACACTGTCAAACAGACAGTGCCTGAGCTCAAGAACAGCTCCAGCTTCAGGAAGGCCGCCACATATTAGGGGAATCCAAGAAAAATTTATCAAAAACAAATAGACACGGTGTTGATGGACACCTTGGAAATTTATAATTACTATTGTGTTAAGAATGGCACCTGGATCAGTTGATTCCGGTGATTGTCTAGCTGCAATGAAGGAAGCATCAACCGTCACGAACATATTATATATATATATATATATATATATATATATATATACATTTAGTGTATCCAAATGAGTTATTTTCTTCATCCCGAAATCCAATTTCAATTCCTAATTCTGTTTATAATGAGATGTATGGAAATTCTGCATTCTGGATAATTGAAGCATGTGCTCCATCTCAACTAAAAGCTGATAGTTGGATTGCACATTAATGGTTATATGCTCAACATGGATGAAGTTATCATCTTTCATATTTTGCTTCAGTAATATAATGCAGACTTGTTCAAGTGGATACCTGTATATTAATATAGTCCTCTGTGTCATCAATGTATTCTCGCAACTGCAAATTAAGCAAGAAGCTAAGATCAGACATAATACGTGCACCGTTCATCAATCTAGCCATACTGATTCAACTGAACGAAAAATTTGTTATAATATGCATATTCATGTTTTGGCTCAAAACCATAATTCAAGCATTATATATTGAGGTTTATACCGTGGTTAACTTGTTCATAGTGCTTTCGATTTGTACAAAGTAAGCCTGCATGATACACATCAAGAATCGTATAGGTTTCGAGTGAAGATATATAAAATGGAAAGTGTAGTTGTGTTATGTAGAAATTAAACCTCGAGCAGCATTTCGAGTTCCTCAACATCAGTTTCCCCAAGGCTTGTTGTCATGCTTTTCCTACTCGCTCTGGATAATTTCGAGCTTATAGTTGGGGAGTCGAGGAACCAGTCTGGAACCAGGTTGCAGCTCACGGGCGAAGAAACAGCTGCAGCCAGTTTCCTCGATAAGTAAAGATCTGTCATGTCGTCATCATCATCAAGAAGCTGCTCGAGTTCATCCCTCACCTGGAAGATGTGAATATATATCCTTTCTGTGAGATTATAAAGCAAATGGTGCCTATTTTGCTTTCAAATGCTGGATTGCTGAGCATACTTAGAAGAAAAAGAAAGACGTACTTTCTGGACCCGACTAGTCAATCTTGTCATCGCACACTTGAGTTTACGCACTCGATCAAGATTACGACTATTAATCTGCACATTATTGCCACATACACCTTGAGAAATAATCCTTAAAAAAAGGCGATTTAAGAGCCAATATGCCAGCAAAATAGTGAAAGTTGGCACTTCAGATATTCAGTTCCTATATTCACATATAGAACCAAAGCAAGTGATATAGACAGTAATACACTAAGCCTATTACAGCCATTTCTCGTGTTCACAACAGAACTGCAAAGTTCATCTTTCAGCACAGACAATCACCGCAATATTAGCAGTCTTGCCACTTAACTTGTTTGAAACCAAAGATCTATAGCAATCATTTTTTTGTTATCCAATAAGATGGTAAAAAGGGTCATTAGCAAAAGTTATGAGCTTTAATGAATAAACGGCTCGCACATGTGTACATGATTGGTAACAATAACATTTCAATGACAACGAGGGTCCACGGCATTTGGCCTTTTCTAGTAGCTGTTTATTGCAGGCTGTAACTTCACAACTTCAGGACAAATTGCTCAAGGAAATCAACTTTAATGTCTTACCTACTTTTTACATGACTACATATATTATATACAAAAGCAGGACCCCCCCGATTTAGTGGTTTCTTTATCAATCTCCATCCACTGAACTTTATTTTAATTTATTTACACAATCTTGATAAAAAAGCATGCTACAGATGAAGTGTTTCATACACTAAACACAGTACATAGTACTTAATAATTTTAATATGAACTACCTTGCAGGGACAACTTAACCTACCAAACAGCGGAAACTTGGGTGATTACTAATTCAAGAATGCACGATTACTGAAAAGACCGAGTTGAAGGTGTTGGGCATATAATATATATACACATAATTAATGTGCAATCCAACTATCTGCTTAGGTTTTTAGTAATTGAAGCAAGGTAAATAAAGATAACATTTCTGCAGCTAGCAGGTCAATTAGCACTCAGCAAAATCGTAAAAAATTGGGTATCTGTTACCTTTGCAGTCAGTTCATCCAAAGCCGGGTAGGCAGTAGTCTCCAAATCTCTTGTTTGTGTGTCGAGAGAGCTACATATACCTTCTAACGCTACTTCTAGAGCTCGAAATTCGAAGGGAAACTCTACATTGAACATCACATAACATCACTTCAATTTCAAGTTCATATATGAGCTATAAAGAGAAACCATTAAAACAATATGATTATCATTAATCTTGCCAATAGAGATATATAGCATAACTAGAATAACTGTTGTGTACCGGTTTGCTCATTATCAGGTCTTATCCCAGGTTGGGGTTGGGGTTGTTCATCATCTTCTCCTTCACCTAGGCCAGTAGCCAGAGGCAACCTTCTTTGCAGTTCTTCAACAATCGGGATAACATTATCCTCCAGTGGGTCACGAAGTAATACCTACCTCAATCATTAAACTAAATCATTAACCAGACAAAAACAAGGATAAGGGAGAAATGGAGAATTATATATATATATATTACCTCTTCTGTTGTAATAATTGCTTTAATGTGCTGAGAACGAACAAAAACTGGATCACAAATTCAGAAGCAAATTTGAAAACAAACAAGAAAAAAGGATGGGAATTAATGGAGTTCACTACCTACCTCCAAGTTGAGAACAATGACTTTTTCTCTTCCAAGAATTGTAGAGGGATAAGAGAGGAGAGGGTCGAGGATTCTAAGATCTCTGGTGTGTATCGGAACCCGTTTCATTATCCCCTGCTTATCCAAATCCAGGATAGCGCTTTGTCCTCTCTTGTCAAACAAAATCCAGCTTCTAGACACAGAACTTTTCATCATCTTCAGTGGCACACAATAATTATCCACTGGGTCTGGGATAGCGGCGGAATTAGTAGAACCCCGCATCTCCTTTGCCTAATCCCAGCTGCTCAATCTACACTCAAGATTCATAAACCAAACAAAAAAAGCTTCAATTTTTAAGCAAACCCTTCCGTCTTTTCACTCCAAAGAAGTAGCTAGAAAGTGAAGAAGTTTTAGAGTCAAGATTCACATACCAAACAACAAAGCTTCAATTTTTAAGCACAACTAATTAACCCTCCACTCCTATAGGTTGTAATAACCTTGAAAGAAGCAGAAAGTAAAGAATTTTCATTATTTCATAAGAAGAATTCTCATATATACTGAGCTGGGAGCAATTATATGATATCTGGGATGAGTGGTTTTTTGAATGGGACAGGATGTGGAGTACAGAAAAGGGGCCATTGATAGAAACAAGTGGGATTGGGATTGGGATTGGGATTGGGATTGGGTTGATACGATGGAGGTGAGCGTATATATAACTTGCAGGATTGAGTTTGTTTGCATGGCTAATGCGCTCTGATTGTGGCGCTGTCCGATGGCGTTAAACGACATGCAACTAAAACACAGGCCAATTCTTCTGTCTCTCCACGCTCCAGGGACGGGGCGTATACTGCACGATCCCATATATCTTATCTTTCTTCTTCTTCCCACCCATCTTATCTTTGGCGTGATTTCTTCTAGAGGTGGTTTTATCGTTTCTTGTTAACTTCTAGAATTGTGCAATTACTTTTGTTAGATTGTAGTTGTTGAGTATTACGGAGTATTTTTTATTAACATATTTACATGTGATCAATTTTATACTAGATTGACTAAGACTTCCTATTTAGTCAATATTAGGTAATTAGTTACTATGAGATTGATTCATGATACAATGAGAGCTAATTTATCACAAAGATTGCCTATTTGCCCATTAAGCAATTGAGCTATTCTATTGGGATGGATTGTAATTGATTTATGATATTATGAGTGATATTGTCAACTCAGAATATTGTTGTGTAGATGATTAATATTGGGAATGAAATTTTAAAAGAGAATGCTTAGAATTTTATAAATGTAATATTTCTATTACAATGAAAAGGAAATTAAAGAAAATACGAAAAAGAAAAATGTGTTGCCTAGTAGTCTAGTACCATTATATTACACACATATATATATATTAGTAGGGTTCCAATGAGAATACTTGTTTAGGTGAGAACGTGAGAACAAATCGTGTGCATCCATTTAATATTTTTAAATGGTCTATATTAGATTAAGTGTGTGCAAACGCGAATTAAATGTGTGCAAACACACTTAATCGCGTTTGCACACATTTAATTCGCGTTCACACACACTTAATCTAATGTAGACCATTAAAAAAATATTAGATAAATGCACTCGATGGGTTCTCACGTTCTCACCTAAACAAGTGTTCTCATATGATCCTAAATTTTATATATATATATATATATATATATATATATATATATATATATATATATAGTCATTTATGTGTCTTAGGGTATTGGTTTAATAGATATGAAATTTCACTTATATATGACTATTTTTCAATGGCAAGTGGGGTTGGATTACCCCTGCGAATATAGGGGGTTTGAGTTGGATTCTTTATACATAAAAATGTACAAATTAATATTAAGTCTTAAAATTAAATTAATTTAATTTATCTCCTTTTATAAGTTTAGGATAGAATGATTCATGAGGTTTAATATATACTTCAACACATAGTGAATACAAAGAGTACTAGCTAGTGTGTATATTGTGTTGAAAAATGAGCAGATATATTGTGTAAGTGATCAAGTCCTTTGGCATTTTATTGGACCACCTGTGGTCCTCTCATACGAATGAATAAATAACATTAATGATATACATGTGGACAGAATTCATAAAACAGTACGTAACATTTCAAGTGTTTGACATTTAAACGAGTTAGATATTGTATACGGAGTATATTTTTAGTTTATTTTTAAAATTTATATGTTAGTTGAACATTGATTATAACAAAAAATGCATATTTAATTACTGCAAGTTAGGTGACAAATTCACAAAAGTAACATTGTTGAAATCAATTTTGTTCTTACATTAGAAAAAAAAAAAAAAAAAAAAAAGGATTGCGCTAAATTGGATTTCATTGCTCTAAGTAATTTTCAATGCAAAGCCCAATCTTTACCAAGGCCTCGATTTGCACCTATGAAAAGTAATTATTATTGGGTTGACCATAGTCCACACAGCTCTATGGACCATGCTATTAAATAATGTACATTTAATATATAAATAATGTATTTTTAATATATTAAAATGTATATTGTATTCAGGAAATGTATATTACTTGAGTACTGAAAATATATTATTTTGTATAATATACATTAAATATACGAATAATAATTTTTATTATGTTAAAAATATATTTTTTGTTATGGCTCACATAGGTGCGAATCATGGTCCACACAATAATTTGCCACACCATTAATTGAATTGCTTAATAATTAAACTGTTTTTGAGCCTAAACATATATATATAATTTTAATTTTATGGGCCAAAAGAAGCCCATAACATTACCCAGCCCATACCTAACGACAAATTATGCTGTGGAACCGTGTCTACCTTGTAAGGTGGATGCGGTTTTAAAACGACGTCGTTTTGGTAGAAAACGATGCCATGTCAATTAAAAAACAAATTTGCTTTATTTTACCGTTAATGGCGTTTGTCTTCAAGAAGTCTATATGTTTATAATTACTGAACTCTATGTTTATAAATTTTGAACTTTATATTCACAATTATTGAACTCTATATTCACAAACTCTATGTTCATAATTATAGAACTATGTTTATAATTTTTGAACTCTAGAAATCTATATGTTTATAATTGGGTAATTCTATTTACACCACCTATTTTACTATTTGCACCACCTATTTAGTAGGTCAAATAGCTTTATAGGTGGTGTAAATGCCAGCATTAAATATGGTCAAAATTATTATTTGTTTTTTATTTTTTAAATTAACAAAAAAAAAAAAAAAAACTCCATCCCGTCACCTTCTCCGGTGAGAAGGCTGCCTTCTCACCGGAGAAGGCAACCCAGTGGGTTTTTTTTTTTTTTTTTTTAAAAAAAAAAAAAAAAAAAAAAGAGATCCGTCACCCCCTTATTCAAACTAAAATAGGATATAAAGTACATTGAAAATCTAAAAAGGTGAAAAATTATAATAAATACATAGGTGGTGCAAATAGCCTAATGGGTGGTCAAAATGCTATTTGCACCCCCTTATTCAAACTACATTTATTAAATTTAAATAATAATTATAACTACGGTTATGCATGATCTATCTACTTTTTTTTTTTTTTTTGATACCGTATGATCTATCTACTTGTTTCCTGTGTATGTACTTTCTGCGTGCGTGTGTATCTGTGTGTGTTTATGCGTATATATATATATATATATATATATATATATATATATATATATATATATATATCAGATCAGATGTTCTTCACTCATATAAATGTGTTTGCTAAGTTTGCTAAAATATTGACTATATTTTAGGATGAGATTGAAGAATGCATTTCTTTCCAAGTCAAGGAGAAATTATCCAGAGCGACTAGGAAAAGCATGACAACAAGCCACTACACTAAAGGTATATATATATAATATGTTCGTGATGATTGATGCGCAAATTATATTTTATTTCCTTTTCAAATAAATCAATTGATAAGGGCTGTTAGTATGGCCAAGCATAACCTGTCTGGATTACATGATATCAAATTAGTTGCTGTAGTATCATAACAGAGCCTAATTTTTTTTACATACATTTTACTACTAATGAAATTTCTCTGACATATAATCCCGGTAGTATATTCCCGAGACTAGTTCTCAATGTTTGCAAAACAGTACACTTCTTTGGGTGGTGGGTGCATTATCATCTGGGAAAATTTTCTTCTCTGCAAGAATAGTTGTTATATTCATTGCAAGATATAATTGTAGCGTTCGAAATAGTCTACTTCGGCAGTAGACTATTTGAAATCATCATAGTTTAGCCAATAGCGATTTAATCTGTTCCCCAAGTTTTTTAAAAAATACTACGTAGCATTTACAGATTAATCAAAACTTGCGGAACAGTAAATCGCTATTGACTAAACTATCAGGGGTATTCCAATGATTTCAAATAGTCTACTGGGAAGTAGATTATTTCGAGAGAACCTACAATTGTATCTTGCAAAGAATATAACAACTATTCTTGCAGAGAAAGAAAATTTTTCCAAATGATAATGCACCCACAACCCAAAGAAGTGTTTTGCAAGCATTGGGAACTAGTTTCGAGAGTATTACTCCAGGGTTATATGCCAGAAAAATTCTATTAGTAGTAAGTTGTATATAAAAGAAATTAGGCTATGCTATGATGCTATAACAACCAATTTGATATCATGTAATCCAGACAGGTCATGCCTTGGCCATATTAACAGCCCTTATCAATGGATTTATTTGAAAATGAAATAAAATGTTATTTGCCTTATTTTGCATCAATCATCAAGAACATATTATATACCTTTAGGGGGCGTTTGGTTCAGGTTATATAAGATAATCAAGGGAATGTGACATTCCAAAGCTCACATTCCGGTGTTTGGTTCATATTATCTCAGGGAATCTAACATTTCCAAGGAATGTCACATTCCCTCCACATAGGATTTTGAAGGGAATGTGATTCCCTTCAAAATCTTAGGTAATCTAAGATAACCTTGGTTATGTTAGTTATATATATATATATATATATATATATATATATATATATATATATATATATTTTAATTATATTTGTAATTATATATATATATATATTTTTATTTTTATTATGTTATGTTAGTTTATAAAATAATTTTGTTTCTCAAGTTCAAGATTTTAATTAATATTTTAAAATCATGTGATTATATATGATACCGTTATCTTATTTATTTATTTTAATTTTTAAATTTATTAAAATATATGAAAATATGTTAAGGATATTATAGTGTGTATAAAAGATAACCCTAAACCAAACATCATTATATTACATACCCCAATTTTAACCAAACACAGAAATCTAACATTCCCAGTAATCTAACATTCCCAGCAATCTAACATTCCCTAAGGTAATCTTACATTCCGTGAACCAAACGACCCTTAGTGTATCCAAATGAGTTATTCTTTTGGTCCCAAAATCCAATTTCAATTCCTAATTCTGTCGATAATGAGATGTATGGAAATTCTGCATTCCGGATGAAGTTATCTTTCATATTTTGCTTCAGTAATATAATGCAGACTTGTTCAAGTGGATACCTGTATATTAATATAGTCCTTGTGTCATCAATGTATTCTCGCAACTGCAAATTATATATTACCTCTTCTGTTGTAATAATTGCTTTAATTAATGTGCTGAGAAAGAACAAAAACTGAATCACAAATTCAGAAGCAAATTTGAAAAGAAACAAGAAAAAAGGATGGGAATTAATGGAGTTCATTACATACCTCCAAGTTGAGAACAATGACTTTTTCATAGTAGCTAGTTGTTGAATGAAATACTATTGTTATGACTGAGGTTAGGAAAGGATTAATTGTTATCTCATAATTGTGCATATATATGAATCTAACCTATATGTAATTAAAAATTATAAGAATAAGGTTCAAATTGGCCACTGAACGTAACTTGAAAATGCAATTAGGCCACTGAACGAAAATAAAGTGCAATTAGGCTACTGAACACTCCAAAAATGTGCAATTTCACCTGATAGCAGGTTACCCTCAATTTTAGCAGGTTATCTGCTTACGTGGCAGCTGAGTTGGCATTTTTAATAAATTTTAAATCATTTTTAATAAATTTTAATAATAAATGTTTATTTAACAAAATTTTAAAAAAATAAAAACGACTTTATTTTATTTTTTATTTAATTTTTTTCAATTTTTTATAAAATTTATTATTAAAATTAATTATTAAAAATTATTTAAAAATTATTAAAAATGCCAACTCAGCTGCCACGTAAGCAGGTAACCTGCTAAAATTGATGGTAACCTGCTATCCGGTGAAATTGCATACGTTTGGAGAGTTCAGTGGCCTAATTGCACGTTTTTGGAGTGTTCAGTGGCCTAATTGCACTTTTTGTTCGTTCAGTGGCCTAATTGCATTTTCAGGTTACGTTCAGTTGCCAATTTGAACCTTATTCCAAAATTATATTTCATTCATTCGGTAACTCATTTATGTGGTAGCTAGTTGTTGAATATTAAGTGCGATTGATTCATGGTACAATGAGTGACATTGTCAACTTAGAATGTTATTGTGTAAATGATTAATATTGTGAATGAAATTTAAAAAGAAAATGCTTATAATTTTATAAGAGTAACATTTCCATTACATGTTTTTCACCAGTTGAATGAAAAGGAAAGAACATAAGAAAATGAAAAATGTGTTGCTTATATAGAAGTTGTGTGAAAACTCAATTTATTGATAAGAAGGAATCAAACAATTAATAGCTATACGACGAGATGAAATAGACTAAGAAAAATAACCGTCCAAAAATACAAATTTATTCTAAATTAATAAACACTAAATCAAAAAATAATATAAATGATTAATCCTCAATAGGCTAGTACTCTTTTTTAGTACTACTAACTCTATTACAATGTAGTATATATTATAACTACTTTCTCAACATATTGCCACCATTGATGAGAGAGAATTAAAGGCCCTAGCTCCTCATTTATGTCCCACCATGTTACCGTTAGGACTCGATATAAATAGGACCTCTCATCAGCTAGGGGGGAGGTTCAAGATTCTGGGCACACGTTCAATATTCTGTACTCAAAATACTTGCAATACAACAATTCGTTATTTTGCTATATATTATAATATTTTTATCCGATAACATATTTACCGTCATTGGTGCTTTCATTGAGAGCATGAGTCCAACACTCAAGCAGGCAACAACACTTAGCAATACAATTATCTCAGCTCACTTATGCAACTATTGTTATTCATAAAATATTATCCGGTAACATATTTACCGTCAAATGCTAAAGTATTATTTTAATTACACTCCACGTTCATTTGACAATATATGTTATTGTATGACTCTGGATTTTAGTTTCGTTTTTCAGACACACTAGTTTCATGTTAACAATATTAAAATGTCATTTTAATTATATTACAGTTTCATTTGACAATATATATTGTTGTATGAGCTATGTTTTTTAGTTTTATTTTAACAACACTAAAGTATCATTTTAAATTTACTACAGTTTCATTTGACAACCATGGTCGACATAGCACTATGGACCATGGTCCATTGTATAACAATTGCACATGAGACACTGCCAACAACAACAACAAAAACGAACAACAAATGAAGATGAAGATAATTACAAACTTATCCAACAGCGAATCAATTAAATTTAGAGTAATTTTAACTAAAAGGTAATATCTAATACCATGTCAACTACAATAAGTATTTAGATAATTTAGAAAAGTACAAATTAAACATTAATTTTAATGCCAACTATAATAAATTTCTTTTTTTTTTTTGAATAAAAACTTCTCTTATTTAATCTTGCATTGATATACTTTAAATTATTTATTTAAATACATACATTGAACATTAATTGTGTCGTGCAATACGAGCGTAAAACTAATTTCATATATATACCCCACCCTAATCAAATTAGTATTAACAAGTTATAACTAGAGAAAATATAATATGTGAATGAGATAACATGCATTTCTTCTAGTATACCTAACCCTTGAGATCATATTCATAACAAACATGAGTATTGCGTTATTTTATTCAAATAGAAAAATAATATTTTATTCAATTGGAGTTCATGGTCGGCCTGCCAATCCATTGGCAAGTACTAAAAATATGAGTAATATAAACAAATATTAGATTGTTTTTAAATAATAAATAATAAGGTAGGTAAAATAATACTCCGTAATATAAAGTGTAAAAATACATCCACACTATGAGCATAACTCATTGGTTCCTTAAACAGTATTTGAAAAAAGAAATAATATTCAAATTTCAACAATAACAGTATGCAGATTATTCTCAAAAATAACATTTGATCCTATTTACTATGTCATTGGATCATTGTGATATAAATAATGATTTAAAAATTTTATAGTGAATACAAAAATGATTGTTAACAGTGATTACTAAGACTGAGCTAGAATAGTGACAAGGTCGTAGTCCAAGTGTAATAAGCCAGACGTTGAATATGGGTGCGCGTGCCAATGTTGTAGTCGCAAACTCCAAAGCTTAATTGACAATTACGAAAACGATAGCGCAACGTTAGCTCCCAATTCAAGCCAATGAAGCCATCGGCCCGCTACCATACACGGCATAATGTAAGGGTCAACTCCTATCCCATTTAATACTGCTCCACAAAGTAACCTCTCTATGACTGTATTTCACTCTTCAAAATTTGAGTTTTAATTTTACTATAGTTCTTTGTGTTGGAGTCAGGTCATCTTCGTCCATGTAATTACACCACTTGCAAATCCTACATAACTTTTTTTTTTTTTTTTTTTTTTTTTTTTTTTTTTAATCTTATGTATTACAAGTCTAACAAATGAGAATTGCAATTTTTACCAGAGTTTTACTATACATACTCTTAAATTTTACTTCATTATGTGACAAACAAGGATAAATTATTTTCATCATGTAAGTCAACATAAAAGTATCTATATTAAGAACTTGTGAGAGAGAATAAAAGTTACGAATATAATGAGTCCGCCAAGTATTTTCCTTTTTGTAACTCTCGTGTCGGACTTGCAACATCAAGTCTTTTATGTTTTTATTATATTTTTTATATTATTTGGATTATCATTTTTTTTTTGATACAAATACATTTTGTATAAGGTGATTGATGTAAAAGTGTGATCACTTTTAAAAGATACGAGAATTGCATGTATGGAGAGTGAATAATGATTAATTGCAAATTTAGTAATATGACATTTTGAAAGTGAGAGAAAATTGTATGAAAGCGAACAACTTTATATGATTGACTTGGCCCCAAATATTTCGATTTATTAGTGAAGTGATTTTGAAGATTTGTACGGGTTGGTGACCACAGAACGGTTTGGTTATCATCTTTAATAACTTGACTCATAAGATTTTAGTATTACAGAGAATTATCTTAAGGCTACAAATTTAGACTGAATGACTTCAACTTAAAAATAGTATTTAGGCATCTTACCGTAATTTTGAGTGAATAAGTTTGACATATAGTGAGATCAATTGGTTCAACCATGAAAATTATGGAGTTATTAAACATAACCAATAATTGTATCAAATATTTTAATAATGAGTATAGAAGAACCAATAAAAAAAATTATTTTTCTTATAATGATCAAATCCCTATGCCAAATCTGTATAGAGTATACTTTATTTACATATACTTTTTACTTCACATTAACGTGTCATGTTTCAATTAATATAGAAATAAGTAAGTTACCATCTTTAATAAAATTAAACATACTCCGTATTGTCTAAACGCAATGAGAGTGTGAATACCACTACACTAATATAATATGAAAAAACTAAACAAAACACGTTGATAACAATTTATGCTCGATGCATTTATCATTTATATATAAATATAAGACATGTTGAAATTGTCTATTGACATTTTCAATTTAAATTAATAAATTTTAAACATTTATTAACTAAATTATAATATGAATTTCGTAAGAAAAATGTAATGTCATTACATAAGTTACAGACTATGTAGGTATACCCCATTGGCCCATGAGCTCTTCATTACATATGTAGTCTTAGCAATGTTAGCATTTTCAAATCCCCCTCCAAAAATAACTCCCAACTAAAACATATAAAAAAATCCCCCCCCCCAAAAAAAGAAAAAGGAATTAACTACTTCCATCCCGAGCCGAATCTCGTTCCTTGCTTGCCAGTTGCCAATACGAACATGGCACCCTCTATATCTCCGTATTCATCGCGTTTCACATTCGAACAAAATCTACACTAGTTCGTTGGAAATATAATAATCGGAGATCTTTTTGGCTGACCGGGTAGAGAAAATCCAGAAAAAACCCTAGTCAGACGGGCAAGGAGACTGATCTTATTTCTACAGGATCGCAGTTGCGAAGCGGACGCGGAAAAACCCTTAGTTCGCACTTCGTGATTGGGAGTTGGGATCAGCCAGCATGCGCTTAGAGTAGGTAGATGTAAATGAGGAAATTCCATCGGTGCACGAGGATTTTCATCCTCTCTTTGCTCGTCATCTCCGTTTGTGTTCCTATCTGCTTCCTGTCTAACAGGATTAAAAGCGTTCATGGTGATGGTAGGTATCATTTCCAGTGGTTCATTTCACTTCTGGAATCTGTGATTGAGCTTATATCCAGTTTAATCTTATTAATTCCGTTTGATTGATTGGATGCAGAGCCGGGAGAATTTATTGAAGATTTATCGCTTATTGTAAGATTTTCTATACCTTAAGTAGGATTTACATTTATTTTTTGATTTCTGATCGTTGTATGATATAGATCGACAGCATGTAGACAGAATAGGGAAGAGGATTTGGCCGAATTTTGTCTACGTGTTGTATTTTTATTTTTGGTGTAATAAGCAAATATGATGATTTGCTTATTTAATAGGAATTTACATTTTATTTGCAATGTTTGGACCACGAAGCTATTACATCTACATTTGCTCCTTGGTCCCACCTCTTGGAATCCAGAGGAAGGAAAAGTGAAAAGCTCCCTTTATGTTCTGTGATTTGTTTTTGTCAACATCCATAATTACAGCCTTTTTAATGTGCACCTCTTCAATCTCTTGCTATAAAATAGTAGTACACTGCTCTTACTGAGATTAATTAAAACCTTGATTATTTATTTATATATTTTTTTGGTGATTCAGAAGCATAGGACAGAGGCTCATATTGCCAGTGCATTAGAGGAGGTAACTGAAATTTCTATGGTCAACATGTGTAAGGGGTTACTTGGGCTAATTACTTATTTGTGCTGAATTTTATGTGATATGGTATAGGAAGAAAGCAAAGGTGTGAAAGAGCCACTCATGGTTGTTTACAAAGATGACAAGTTTAGTTCTGATTCTTTAATTGAGAGTAATAGGACCGGTGAATCAGAAAACACAAAGAATGCTACCTTGGGAGAAAGTGGTTTGTTCTATTCCGATATTATTATATATTTTTCTTCTTATCTTCATTGGCCGCTCAGTTGTTAACTTGTTTCAGGAATCATGCAAAATGTAGAAGAAGAGAATCAACATAGTCAGCATGAGGAAGTTGTACGAAATTCAAAAGAAAATGTATGACTTCTCCTCCACTCCCACATGAAGTGATGCAATGTACCTAAATAAAGAGGATATTCTTACACCAATACCCTCTAATCATTGTACTGGGTAGCAATATACTAAAGTTTTCTTTGAGGAGCTTTGTGATTCAGAAATTTTGGAAGCTTAAATATATATATTTTTCCTCTGTGATATAAGCTATAAGAAATGTTGATTGCATTCTTGAAATTTACTCACAGATGCAATTGTTGAATTCCACACTTTTGTTTTGATTTATCACCAATGATTATGATTTTTATGTGCTTTTCCTTTCCAAAACATAAAAAGATGGAGTTGTCTAAAGTCTGTTTACTCAATACACTGCAGAACTATAATTGAATACAGTCTTGATTGGGTAGATTTATTAGGATTACATTTTCATCTTAGATTTTCATGTAACCTGTGATAGTGATATTAGTCAGGATAGAAACTTGCTTTTCAGTTGAAGATCTAAGATTTCTGTTGTTTTTATGGGAAACACTTATTCTGAATTTATTTTTCTTGTCTCACTATCTCACTGCTGTTCACTTTGAAAGTACTGCGAAATTACTCTTTCCTTTGGCTCTCAGAAATTTCAAATTTATTATCAACTTTGCTGTTTATGCCTATTTTTTTTTTTTTTTGTGGTTTTATTGCAGGCACAGTCTGAGCCTAAAAGGGTTCAACATGATCAGAGTAGAATCTCACATTCCCAGAAGACATCAGATGTGAAGTTGAAGGAGATGAAAGACCAGGTTATTAGAGCAAAAGTATACCTGAGTTTTGCCCCACAAGGTAGCAAATCTCATTTTGTGAAAGAGATCAAGATGCGAATCAAAGACCTGGAAAGAGCTATGGGTGGAGCTACTAAGGATTCTGATTTGTCTCGGAGGTAAGATGAAGATGAACTTAGGTCCTTTCCTTTTCCCTTTCAAATGCCCCAACATTTACAAATAAACTCCATATTTTGTCTGAGTATTATCACATTTCTACAAGATTCTGTCCTTGGTGAACTTAGTAAAATGTTGACTAGGTGCTTACATCATCCAGCAGAGATGATTTTGGTTTATCTCAGATCAAATTGTTTTCTGGGTAATCAATTTGTTTTATGGGCTTCAATACATTTCATTTTTTGCCTACAAAATAGTAGCCTTTTCAGGGCTGTGCAGAAGATGAAAGCCATGGAGGCAACCTTATCAAAAGCTAGCCGCATGTACCCTGAATGTGCACCTATCATGAAAAAACTTCGCGCTATGACATATAATGCTGAAGAGCAGCTCAGAACACAAAAGAATCAAGTTGCATTTCTTGAAGAGCTAGCTGGAAGAACTACACCTAAGGGCCTACATTGCTTCTCCATGCGGTTGACAGCTGAATATTTTGTCCTGATGCCTGAAGAGCGGGAATTCCCTAACCAACATAAGTTGCATAATCCAGATCTATATCACTTTGCTGTTTTCTCTGATAACATTTTGGCATGTTCTGTTGTTGTCAACTCAACCATTTCATCTGCTAAGGTATGCTGTTCTTGTATCTGCTCTTTCTTTTCAGCCTTTCAGGTTCCATTATTTGTTCTACATCTCTTCATTTCTCTTTTATTTTTATTCATCCTTTCCACTTTTGGGGAGGCTTAAAATTGGTCATATGCTCATATTATATCAATTTTTCTTGGACATGACTTTTTTTTTTTTTTAGTAAAAGGCTGAGGTTCTGAGAAGCAAGTGTATGAAAATGATGTTGGAGATTAGTTGTTAATGTATGCAGCACTGTGTTTACTTATATGCATGATTTTAGTGTGTTTACCAAATGAGCTTTAGGTGATCAAGAATATTTTCAACTTTGTGTTAACACGCATGGCAAGGTTGATGGTCAAGGATATTTACTCTTGATTTGTTTTGAAGACTTTTCTTTTTTAATCAGTTATTCATGTACTGAAGATGATGTTTGATGCATTTGACAGGATCCTGAGAAAATTGTCTTTCATATAGTCACAGATTCAGTTAGCCTCCCTGCAATATCAATGTGGTTTTTGTTGAACCCTCCGGGCAAAGCAACAATTCATATCCAAAGCATAGACAATATCAAATGGTTATCCACCAAATATGATGCAAATTTGCAGAAGCAAGGGTCACTTGATCCAAGATATACATCTGCATTGAACCACTTGCGGTTTTATTTGCCAGATATTTTTCCTTTGCTCGACAAGCTTGTGTTTCTTGACCATGATGTAGTTGTGCAAAGGGATCTCTCAGCACTTTGGAGAATTAACATGAAGGGTAAAGTGAATGGTGCTGTGCAGACTTGTAAGCAAGGAGAGCCTTCATTCCGTCGGATGGATGCATTTATTAACTTTACTGACCCCATGATGGCAAAGAGGTTTGGTGTGGAAACCTGCACATGGGCATTTGGGATGAATTTATTTGATCTGAAGGCATGGAGGCAGCGAAATTTAACCGCAGTCTATCACAAGTACTTGCAGCTGGTAATGATTAATGACAACTTCGTCTTTCTCATTTAATTTATTGCCTGTGGAATTGGTCGTGTTGTCAATTTGTTTTTAGGTTGTTCTTCAAGCATATCTTTATATAACGTTCTGAGTATATTTCTTTAGCTTTTATCTTACACAAGTCCTTTTTATCGTTTATGGCGGATGTATATAAATATGTGTGTGTGTGTAAACACCTAGTGCATTTTTGTTGCATTCTTTATTGTTTTTCTCACTACTGCCAATTTTCCTCTCTGAATGATATACAGGGAAGTAAGAAGCCATTGTTGAAAGCTGCTGGTACTTTGCCAATTGGTTGGATAACCTTTTACAAGCACACAGTGGCTCTAAACAGAAGTTGGCACGTCCTTGGTTTAGGTTATGATTCCGGTGTGGTGCGGGGCGACATTGAGCAGGCTGCAGTCATTCATTATGATGGAAAAATGAAACCATGGTTAGATATTGGGCTCGAGAAGTATAAACCTTATTGGAGGAAACATGTGAACTATGAACACCCCCATCTACAACAGTGCAACATACACACTTAATCACATATCCAACAAAAGAAGCTTGATTCAGTCCTCACACACTATTTTTTGTCAACACTTAATAGATCATAGTTTGTGTAAATTTGAACAAATCTTTTTCCGGCCAAATTCTTACCGGAACTGACCGCATTCTTGCAATAATATGGGGTACCAATTACCAAATACTTCAGTGTCCCTGAGAGCATAGTTTAGAGTTTTCTTTTCTTATTTACTGTTGTCTGGACTATAGTGGCCTGGAATCCAAAATCAAATTGTGGTTCACATGAGATGACATGCCACGTGGCCAAATGTGGTTGGGTTGGAATGGATGAGGTGCTATCCATATAATCTTGGTTTGTGGTTGTTCATTGGTTATTGTCTCGGCTAGAGAATACATTAATTTGTAGATTGCTCCCATATCAAAATCAAATAAACTGGAACCCAGTAGCAGAGAGAGCTCGATCACCACCTCACTTCAATCAAACTAGAATACAACAGAAATGGCCACCATCTCTGCATGCTCTCCGACCTCCACCGTCGCACGTGCTGCACTCGTGCCCAAGGCTCCGGCACCACGCCCCTCCGCCGTTCTCGGTACTAGTTGTGTTTAGGAGAGTATGTGTTTTGGCTTGTGATTAGCTTTTTTTTTTCTGCTTCTGATGAGAATTGCTTTTCAGGGTTGCCGGCAATGAGTAGCATGGGCAAGATGAGATGTTCGATGGAGGGAAAGGCAGCTGGCGAGTCAAAGTTGGGGATGGGTGCATCTATGATGGCGGCAGCGGCGGCAGCCGCCATGTCCAGCCCAGCAGCCATGGCTCTGGTGGATGAGAGAATGAGCACGGAAGGGACCGGACTCCCATTCGGGCTGAGCAACAACCTTCTTGGTTGGATACTGTTTGGTGTCTTCGGTTTAATCTGGTCTCTCTACATCGTCTACACTTCCGGCCTGGATGAGGACGAGGAGTCTGGACTCTCCCTTTGAGCTTCAATTTGTACTGTGTCATTTGTGTTAATCATGATGTAATACTTTACTGTCATCAGATCATGCCGTTTCTGTAAACTTGTGCTCTATAACTTTCCCTTTAATCCCTATTCCCCAGCATCTCCTTTTATTTCTTGATCCACCAAGTTCTAACTCAACTCAACCAACAATAACTAATTTAACTGCAAATACCTTTGTTGTTACGCACCGGTCTTAAATCTCAGGGGGTTTCACCGTTTCAGACGTAGAGATGAATAAAAGAGAAGATAGTTGTTTGGTATAGAGAGAATTTATGAATGATAAAATAAAAAACAAGTACGAAATATATGAATAGATACCAAAGAAACGATGAAAATGGCAAAGGGAAATTGAGGAAGAAGATCATCTTCTTCTTCTGCCTTTTCAATTTTTGTTTCAGATTTCTGTAAATACAAACAATAGCCGATGCCTCCTCCTTTAATTATTTAACTAAATACGGGGTATAATAATACTATGAAAATATTTTAATAATCAAATATTTATAACATTATTTTAACCAGCAGCTTGGAACATATTACTAATGTAACTATCAAATAGAATAAGGAATAATTATCAATGATATTATAATCTAGTGACACAAATAATAAAAATTTGTTTTTAAAGAGATGATTATGTAAATAAAGTATGATTTTAATATCTAAGATTATTTCTTACCAATATATTTTCAAGTATACACTCTCAATTAGTGATTAATGAGATTATTGTTACTGAAATATGTTAAGAATTTTGTGGTCTAATGACACCAAATTGCTTTCTCATATAAAAAGTTAGTTGTAAGTTCGAGTTTTATGGAAATGATATTTGGCTCTTTGTACTTTAGTAGGTTTGCAAAAAAATAGTTAGAAACATAAATACTAAAAAATATAAATAAATTACTGAGATATAGTGCATAGTTTGCGTGGAATGACAGATAGAATGATGCGTATAAGGGCGATTTGTAGTAGTTCATATCGCTTTTGCTACATACCCGGTCCCGGTCGCGCAACTCGGCTGCTCCTCCAACGTAGAATGGCGGCCACGTCGCCTAAGCTCAGCTCCACGCTTTCTTCTCCGACTCTTTATGCTCTCTGCAACCAACTCCCGAGATTCTCGCCTCTATCGCTCCGCAGTAACGCTGTAAACTTTCCTTCTCTCCATCTCCGCCGTCAATCCTTCTCCTACTGCCGCCGATTCTCCACCACTCGAGCCGAGTCCTCAAATGGTGCGGCTGCTGCTGCCGCCTCCGAGCCGCCGAGCCACTATGATTTCGACCTCTTCACTATAGGCGCCGGGAGCGGCGGCGTTAGGGCTTCTCGCTTTGCCGCGAATTTCGGGGCTTCTGTAGCTGTTTGTGAGCTTCCTTTCTCCACCATTTCGTCCGATTCCACCGGCGGTGTTGGCGGCACGTGAGTTTCCAATTCGACTATTTTGTTGCCGGCTTTATATTTTGATAATCCTTGTCTGTTATTTGTACTCTGTATATACGATCGAAAGGGAGAAAAGAGAGCAGATTTTGCTCTTTTAGGCTGTGAACTTAGCATGCTAGCTTAAATTCATCATCTTTACAATCATAGCCGGTACTGAGTTCATAGTGAAATGGGGTGAAGGTAGAGCTTCTTTCCGCGGTGGGATACAAATTGCTTAGATGAAAAAAGATGTTTGGTTTGTGCATTAAGCTCTACTACCATGTTATTCAATTTTTTCTTGTAAGAGTATTGGGATTCAGTGAATAAATTTACACTGGGGTTAATTTTCTTTGATTTGGATAGTGTTTTGCTCACCCAATAACATGAAAAAGCTTTGTGAAGATAAAGGATAAATCTATAGTGCAGGTTGATCTTGTGTGTGTGTGTGTTTTAATTGTTCTGATTTTTATGGATCCTTTATTTAAGGTGTGTGCTTCGCGGCTGTGTACCCAAGAAACTACTTGTGTATGCTTCAAAGTATTCGCATGAATTCGAGGAGAGCTGTGGGTTTGGATGGAATTATGAGACAGAACCAAAACATGATTGGAGCACTCTTATTGCAAATAAAAATGCTGAATTGCAACGTCTCACTGGAATCTACAAGAACATTCTTAACAATGCTGGTGTCACTCTTATTGAAGGGCGTGGAAAGGTCTGATAAGTTTTCAGCAAAAAACATTTAAAGATGAGTCTTTAAGCGTCTGTTATACATAGCATACCCTTTTGCTGTATCTACAGGTTCTTGGCCCACATACAGTGGATGTGGATGGGAAACTCTACTCGGCTAGAAATATACTAATTTCAGTTGGAGGGCGCCCATTTATTCCAGACATTCCTGGAAGTGAATATGCTATAGATTCTGATGCAGCACTAGATTTACCCACAAAACCAAAGAAAATTGCAATTGTTGGTGGTGGCTACATTGCACTTGAGTTTGCTGGGATCTTCAATGGGTTGAAAAGTGAGGTCCATGTTTTTATAAGACAGAAAAAGGTCCTCAGAGGCTTTGATGAAGATGTGAGTTAAGTACTTCTCTCGTTCAGTTAACGTGCATTTGGCCAAAAAACTTTCTTCATGCAAGTTCTTACAAATTATGCAGATTAGGGATTTTGTTGGGGAGCAAATGGTACTAAGAGGAATTGAGTTCCACACAGAGGAATCACCACTAGCTATTACCAAGTCACCAGATGGCTCACTTTCTTTGAAAACTAATAAAGGTACAATAGAAGGTTTTACTCACATCATGTTTGCAACGGGGCGCAAACCAAATACAAAGGTGTGATGCTTATCCTTTAAAACTTTTCCTAGTTATAACAGAAAAGCACCTCCTATAACATTTCCTAGTTATATAGGTGGTTGCGGTTGGTGTATTGGTGTTGATGTATGCTTGCTCTTCTTTTCTAAGATAGACTAGATGGTTGTTGAGATGCTTCTTCATGTCAGATTCAGAGAGATGGCTAATTTTAGTTTGTTGATATTTTGACTTTGTTGGCAGACTTTAGGATTGGAGACAGTGGGAGTGAAAATGACAAAGAATGGAGCCATAGAGGTCCTTTATCTTCCAATTATCTTCTTACCTTTTACTAATTAGCCCCTCCCTTCCGAACTACTTGCAGCTATTTACATAATGAAAGTTGTAATTGAAATTGTTTCGATAGGTTGATGAGTATTCCCGTACATCAGTCCCATCGATTTGGGCAGTTGGTGATGTTACTGATAGGGTGAATTTAACTCCAGTTGCTTTGATGGAAGGAGGAGCATTGGCAAAGACGCTTTTTGCTAATGAGCCTACTAAACCAGACTACAGGTGCTTGCTCTTTCTTGCATGATACTTTTTGATGCCTTGAAGGCTTTGATTAACCTTAAGATCTGCTTATGGGCATTCAGTATAAGCAGGTGTAAATATGGGTAGAAAAAGCTTCATGAAAATAAATATAGAGAATATATGATAAATCATATAAATAAATATATATTATACATTTACATCTTCCCCTTCTAGAACAGAAGACTTGGAAGAAAATCTTTATTTGGCTTCTGAAAAAGAAGATTCAATAAATTTCATCCAACAACTTTGTTTGATATTCTTCTCTTGGACAGGGCTATACCTTCTGCAGTATTTTCTCAACCCCCTATCGGGCAAGTTGGTCTGACTGAAGAACAGGTGAACTGATAACAACATACATCAGAAAGTGCTAGAATTGATCTTCATAATTTGATCTTGTAATCTGTTTGCAGGCCATAAATGCATATGGTGATGTAGACATTTTCACATCAAACTTTAGGCCCTTAAAGGCTACACTCTCTGGCCTTACAGATAGAGTTTTCATGAAACTTATTGTCTGTGCAAAGACAAACAAAGTTCTAGGCTTGCACATCTGTGGAGAAGATGCACCGGAAATGACACAGGTAGTTGCTCTCTTTCATTTTTCAATATGCCCATTTGCAACGGGCAACTTGATTACCGCCTTACTGGCAAAGCTTGCATGCCTACAATTTTATGTCATTTATCCAGGGGTTTGCAGTTGCTGTGAAAGCTGGCTTAACAAAAGCAGATTTTGATGCCACAGTTGGTATCCACCCAACAGCAGCAGAGGAGTTTGTCACCATGAGGACACCTACAAGAAAGATTCGGAGCAATCCATCTGAGGTTTGTCCTCAATTCAAATCTTAATTAAACAGGATTGTTATTTCATGGTGGATTGACCTTTCTAGTGTAGAAGAACATGAATTCAAGAAGTCTTACTGTGTCTCCGTCTCCTTTCTTGATAAATGCTTTTATTCACCTGGTTCCCTTGCTATTTTTCCTCCTATTGTATATTTAAGCTGTTTAACGAGGCCAGAACCATTAACATGCATATTGCATATTACTACATATCCAATAATTCTGTAATTTGTACCAATTAACATAAACAGTTGAATTCTTACCGTCAAAAGATTATAAACCTAGATTTATAAGGATGGGCATCTCTATGCAAGATTATGCTTTAGTATCTGTGAATGTACTTTAGGTCTCAAGTTCCGAGCTATAGAATCACTCACTCTCTTATACTCTGTAATCTGCACAGGGTGTGATTTTTTTATTTTTTTTTTTAATTTAGTTTGTTTAACCATATATATTACTCCAGGGAACAGCAGAGTCCGATACTAAATCTGCTGCTGGAGTTTGACATTGTGCAATGAAGATCAATCTGATGCATAAGCAACACACAGATGAAATTTGGTGAGGGCTGTTGGTTACCCTCTCTACAATGTGCTTCAATACGGAAAAAAGAAGGGAAAATGGTTGTTTTGCTTGGTTTTCTCCTCGGTATTTTTTCAGTTTTTGTGCTAGCTTGATTTGATTTGTAGCATGTGCATAGTGGAGATTGAAGCCTGCATGAACATATTAATCAGAGGAAGGATATGGACAATATCACATTCGTCTACCACAAAGTCGGCAGGCATGGAACCTAAAAATTAGAAGGGGGAATTCACGCACACAAGATGGCCTATTAGAGGAAATAAGAGAGCCCATCCATGATCCATGTGGAATGTTAAGTTTGTGTAGACTTCAATAAAATGTGCATTTTTACAGACTGCTATTTGCGTGGTCGGCTTCGATTCCCATACTAATTTAACATGGGGTTTGCTATTTTCATTTTGGCCCTTCGATCTCTAGTTTGTCGAGCTCCTGCTTCACTCACAAGTCACACCTTTTTGCAATGCTTTAAGTATAAAGTTCAATAAAAGTTTAAATATGACAGCTGCATCGAATAATTACTTTAAGAAAGCATAAAGTTCCCAAAAGGGTGGTCGGAGTAAGTGTAAGATTATCATACTTGAAGGTCATAAGTTTGATTTTTGTAATTACACTTTTTCAATTGAGTTTATTGTATAATCTATAGAGATTGTAAGTTTTCCTCGTCACGTAAAAAAAAAAAAAAAAGGTTTAAGTTTTTCAACAGTGATTGAATTTTCTCATTACTAATCAAGAAGCATTCCTTTGTGAAGTTTAATGTTTATTATATCATGACTCCTTAGAACATCTCATCAATGATTTTTTGCTCAATTTTTGATGAATTTTATGGACATAGTGGAAGAGAGAGAAAGAAGAGATAAAAGGATGGAAGTCTTAGCCTTTAGGGTATCCTCAATAGTGATTTTTTAAGAGTTTTTGTCGGTGTGATTATAAAAGAGAACATGGGAGGGGAGGAAAAAAATTCTGAAATTAAAAAAACAAAAAAAAAAATACTCGACGGGACGCGCATGCTCTGCACAACGCGCAGATCCAAAATTAAGTGGGACCCACATTTCCGACCAAAATCTCCACTTACTGCAAGAACCTCCTCACCCTCAATCCTCCACCTCACCCACTATTCCTCATTCCTCAAAAACTGGTCCTAAATCTCCTAATGGGGATGCTCTTACCTTAAGAACTTGATTTTTGTCTCCATAGTGGGACCTACTAAGTACTAAGAAATAAAAAAAGAAAAAACTAGTCGCGCGAAAGTCACAACAAGACTTAATTTTTTTCTCCATAGTAGGACCACCAAGAAAGAAGAAAAGAAAAAATTGGTCGCGTGAAAGTTACAAGTGCCCTGACAATTTTTTTTTTCTTTCAAATTTTGTTTTGTTTTGTTTTTTTTTTTTTTTTGGTTTTGTTTTTGTTATTATTATTATTATTTTTTGTCAACTATTGCAAATTTTTTTCTTTCAAATTTTGTTTTGTTTTTTTATTATTATTATTTTTTTGTCAATTATTGAGGATGCTCTGAGTCATTTTGATTGGTATAAGAGGTAAGTACATAAGAAGTTGAAAATATTTTACCAAATTTATGGATACCCTCATATTCCACCATGAATGATTTACCTAAAGTTAATTCCTTAACCAAAATGAAAAACTCATTCCAAAAAAAAAAAAAAAAAAAAAAAACCAAAATAAAAAACATAAATTAATTTTCCTCCAATTTCTTGGCAGAATGGCAGCAAAAACTAAAAACCAAGCCAACGGTACAGTTGACAGTCAACGGAACCGCCTCGCGTCGCGCCTACCTCTGTAGTGCTGTGCTGTCCCCTATAGGCTATAGCTATATAACGCTCCTCTTGGATTAATAAAAATAATTTCAAAAACATCGGCGCCAAAACCACCAAATATCCCGCCGCGCCCTCAATAATTTGATGCTCTTTCTGTATCGTTTAGGCATTTTGGCGGAGAGATTTCTGAGAAGAAAACCCAAATGCAAGGCCATCTTCCTCATCCAGCTACGCCGGTCTCCGACGTCTTGGCGCCCAAGCGCGGCAAGAAGCGGGGGAGCTATAACTGTGGCCGCTGCGGTGCTCCCAAGAGGGGCCACGTTTGTCATTTTTCCAATGACAAGGATTCCGTCTCCAACTCTCCGGCCATCGGTGACTGCTCGTCGTCAGCTTCACCTTCCCCTCTCCCCGCCGTCGTGTATCCTCAGATGCGCCAGCCTTGCTCCCGCCTCCCTCGAGCTCTGTCGTTCGACGACTTTGACCTAGGTGACTTAGCCGGATCGGAAGACGAAGGGGACGATGGGTTTCCCGATCTGGGCGGGTCAGGGAAACTGCCGTGTGCTTGTCTCTGGGAGGTGCTCAGGAGGCTGCCGCCGCCGGCGTTGTTGTCGGCGGCGGGCGTGTGTAAGGGATGGAGGGATACTGCTAGGCTGCTGTGGAGAGCGGCGGAGGAGCTCAGGCTTAAGGTTCCCGCCAAGGCCCAGGTTGGACACGTCAGATCGTTGTTGCAGAAATGCCCTGGGCTCGTTACACTTTCCCTTAGAATGGAAAGGTTAGGTGGATCCCGGCTGTTTATCTAGTCAATTGCTTGATTTTGATGGAAGACATAAGCTCAATCAAAATAATAAAATGCAAATATGCAATGATATATACCGAGCGAAACACGTTTACGCATTGCAATCTTAAGAATCAAAATCCTCAGTACAAACATGATCTGAAGGATTGATTCTGTATGCTGATCGTATAATGATGTAACGAAACTTTATCCTTGGAAGCTGATCTGTTATATTTTTCTGGTTTTGGTGTCACAGTGATATTGATGCTACAATGCTGGCCTGCATTGCATTTTCATGCCCTAACCTGGAGTCCCTGGAGATATTTACATCCCACACCTCAGTAAATAGTATCACTGGGTATGCTTTCCGTCCCGATTGTAATGTCCTTAGTTGATTTGAGCATATGTAGGTCAATTGGTGAGTGTTTTGTTATCTGTGTCTCTTTAAATGCAACATGCCAAAGCTTGTTTATGTGTCAAAAAATGCTATTACCCAGTGCATTCACTCAAGTACTGGCCTCTGGTTTTCCTCGTCATCCAAAAAAAAAAGGAAATGCTACTAACATGTTGCCATAAGCCATACTCTATTTTTTGTGGACTTGTCATGTTTGTTATTGTCTAAAATGAGAGAGGGCTTATATCTTTGAACTTATCTTCATGAAAAGTTAGTGATTTGGTTGTTTGGCATTTTTTCTCCTTGCTTAAAGTGCAACTATGATGTGCCATTCTGCTAAATGAAGTTTTCTTTGCTTAGATCTTTTTGGTTGATTGATCTTGTTGTGTGATCTTTGCCCCATTCGCTAACCAGCATAGTGAATATACATTTGAGCACTTTTTGTGCAATTTACAATAAGAATGCCGCATTTTGCTCTGTATTTTAAATCATTTCTTTATGAACGCATTTTATCATGTCATTAGACTTTTGCTCATTTAATGTTAATTTCCATGTTACCATTACAGAAATCCCTATTCTCGTTACTTCAAATGATATTTTTAAATATAAAACTTTTTGGTGGGTGATATTTTGAACTTCTGGCAATTAACCTTGCTCACGTGCTTGCTCATATACATATTTTATTTATTTGTTTGTTTATTTATTTACTTATGCAGGGATGAATTGAGCCATTTTCTTGCTGATAGAAAATGCCTTACCAATCTCAAGATGGAAGGATGCTCTAACCTTGGAGGTTTCATTCTTTGTTCAAGCAAGCTGTCTACTATTTGGCTTTCAGATCTTCGTTGTCTCTCTAAGATGGTATGCACTAGTTCATGGCCATTGTTCCATTGCAGCATGCTTCTCACATCACTAACCTCTGTTGAGATATGCCATATTTACATAGGTATTCAACTGTCCCAGTTTGAAGGAAATTTCATTGGAGTTTTCTCGTCAAGATAATGACAACACTGATATTGCCACCATGGTCGATGGTTTTGGAAGAAGCTGCCCAAGACTACAAAACATTCACATTGCTTCTGTTCGGCTTTCACATGCTGTTGTGCTTGCTCTTGCAGCAGCAAATTTGAGGTTTGAATGTGTGGCTTTCGTTGTTAAGTTCCTGGAATTGCAGAAACTCTTGGAATAATGCTTCCCTTTCCCTCCTTGACAAGAAGGTGAATGAAATCAATGTGACTGCTTTGATCTGCAGGGAGTTGAGAATGCTTTCCCTTGTTCTTGGGTCTGAAATAACTGATGCATCTGTTGCAGCTATTGCTTCAAGCTACCCAAGGCTTGAGTTACTTGATCTGAGTGGGTAAGTCCTGACATGCATTTTTTTTCTTCAATTTCTTTTCCTATGAAGGGACAGTATCCTGATCATTCCTTGACTTGTAAGGAAAAATCTGAACAGAGAAGCAAAATAATAAATTTAAATATGCTGCAGCTGGTTGATTGGTAACAGAAGCAGTTTAGTCTGAATTCAATCATGTTTCTGGGAGAATTCCAAGTTCTATGAACATATTATTGTATTTAGTTTGCATGACTGTCTGTTTTGATTGATGTTTTTTCCTTTTTATTTCAGGTCTAGTATAAGTGACAGTGGCATTGGAATGATGTGCAATGTTTTTCCTGAGACATTGTCCAAACTTCTCCTTGCCCTTTGTCCTAATATTACTTCAAGTAATGCTTAAAATGCCCTTCACTAAGTCTTCCTGGGACCTATTTATCTGCACTTCATATGATAACTATGACATGCTTGTTCTTTAGGTGGTATTCAATTTGCTACAGCTCAATTGCCTCAACTAGAGATTATGGACTGTGGAATGACCATATGTGATCCAAATTTAGACAGCCCAGAGGAGAATGGTGATTCTGACATTCAAAAAATACCCAACAGCGAGTTACACCGTGCATATCAAAAGCTGATCATTAAACACAGCCGGTTGAAGAAATTAAGCTTATGGGGTTGCTCTGGCTTAGATGTGAGCTTTTATATTCAGTAGTTGAATACTTGAATTATAGGTATTGAGGTATTCCACTGATATAAAATTTGACTCATTTTTTGTCTTGATTATGTTAAATTCAATGCAGGCATTATACTTAAATTGCCCGGAACTTGTTGATCTTAACCTAAATTCTTGTAGAAATTTGCAACCAGGTAGCATTTGAGTTTTGAATCTTGAGTCTGTGTGTCTACATTTTACCTAATGAATTGTTCGAAAATGAAATATTTGTTGCATTTAAAGTTTAACAATGTGTCCTTGACACTGCAGAGAGATTGTTACTTCAGTGCCCCAATTTGGAAAATGTTCATGCATTAGGTTGCCATGGTGTTTTGGTTGAGGGCATTCAGACCCAGGTATTTCTCAGTTGTGCTAGCTATCCTCTCTTCTGGAAATAATGCTTTTTACGTCGTGCTCTCCTAAGAGCTGGGTACTTCCATTATTGATACAAACACGTGTCATTAACATAATCACAATAGCATTGACTTTCTTTTCTCATTTGGATCCATTTCTGCCAGTAATGTACAAGATGCTTAATCAAAAAAAAAAAAAAAAAAAAAAAAAAAAAAAAAAAAATCCACCCAGCTACCCTTTTGGGTTGTAAGAAATACTTTAAGAACACATCTGCTTCATCCTCCACTGCTGGACATTATGTTTTTTCATTGTTTGAGTCTTAATAGCTGGTTACTTAGATTCTATTACTTGTACAAACAAAATAGATGTTGATTCTCCTTTTGGTATCTTTTGTGCCTTCCAATAGATTAGCACACAGATGCTTAATAAAGTAGAGATGTAAAATATTTTATAGTTTACGATGTCAACTTAACTGAAGTTACTGAACAAGTCTGTAAGCACTTCTATACCTATAAAACATCCTCATCCCCATCACCAGTGATTCATTGACCGACTGTGATGCGTTGTTTAATGCTGTGACTTGAAGCCTAAAATAGCAGTGAAGGAAGTTTTAGAGAAAATGGAATTTTGTCCTTGAAAAACCTTCTCTCCACTACTTTTTCTTTTAGGGAAGTGAACAAGGTTATATAGAAAGAGTTTTACTGAAGCAATCATGATGCTTTTGCAGGTAAATAGCAGTGAATCTGCAGGTGTAGAGACTCAGTTTCCTTGCAAGCGCCTCCCTGATGGCTCCAAAAGGATACAGATGGTTCCTGGTTTGTTCAACCCACAGGTAATTAATATACATTATTGTGTAAACCCCTTGAAAGTGATTCTTGCTCCAATTATTTGCCTCTATAAACCCCATGAAAGTGATATTTGCTTTCAATGGTCTCCACAATATTTCTTATTCTCTACTGGAAAATAATATGTTTATTGCCATTGTGCAGCCATATGATGATCAGAAGAAAAAAAGAAAGCTTTCAAGTCTCAGTTCTGCTGTTAGTGTTATCTTCTGAAGCAAATAATCCTGGCCAGTGCCTGAACTTCCTACTTTTTCCCCAGTAAATTAAATGATGTTTATTTATTATTAAACTATAAATACATATTATGTAAGTGTAGGAAGATATTTGGAATTTTATTACATTTTCCTTCTAAACTTTCTTAATACAATATTAATTATTTTTAGAAGAAATTATTTTAAAATTATATATATTCTGATCCAATTCTTAAGTGGTATTTAAATTGTGATTAAATTTTTTACTTTTGAGCTCAGTTTTATAGCATCTCCAACCGTTTTAAGTTTTTGAGGGGTTTTTAGGGAAGAGAAGATGGGGGGAGGAAAAAAAAAAAACAGAGGCTATTATGTGCCTGTTGGGTGCTTAAGGTACGCTTGATGTGCGTTCAGGCGCTCCTCTTTCCTCCACGCGGGTCTTACTTGTTAGTCTAAAAATCCCTCCAGCAAAGACATTTCTCATTCTCTCTCCTCACCCTCTTTTCTCTACATCACCTATATTTCTTCAAAAATCACACCATGCTCCATTGATGGGCCGGAGATGCTCTTGGGAGGAAATTAGGGTTTTCAGGACTGAATAGAATATGGAATGAGTCAATGGTATGTGATATGAATATGGTGGGACGATGGAGTTAATTAGTGGACAATAGTACTAGGGAGAGCACGTGTATAGAGAATAGAGATTCATCATAATTAGTGTCCATGTGAACTTGTTGGCCTTATGCCACCTTTGAGTCAATTACCGGCCCCCTATGTACTCAATTCCCTGTATAGTATATGCACCGTTTCATGGCATCCATCCATCCATGCATGCATGCATGCATCTTGAAAGCAATACTAGTCCATGCCAATGTGGTCATTGTTTAGACGTACGATGCATGCATGGCAAACATACACATGCATGCATGCATGCATGCGTAAGTAGTACTTATTGGCAGCTAATTAATGATGGGGGCAAAGAAGAAATGGGAGCATGAGGGCATGCTTGGTGTTTAGTATAGTGATGGGAATGGCCAACCGGCCGGACTAGCTAGAACGCTTGCAGGCCGGGGCCAGAAATGATGAAATGAAACTTCATTCCCAATTCCATCCCACGTGTGGCGGCATCTCATTTTCATATCATTTATCACATCGCACATGTGCACCCTACCCATTCCCCATCTCTATCTTCATTCCCATACAATATGCTCCATTCCCTTTCCTATCTACCTTGGCCTTTAGTGCTCTCCCCAGTCCCCACATCATATATCTTCATGCTCCAATATTATTATATTCCCTCTCTAATCAGCTATTAAAATTTTTAACTGAAAAATGATGGGTAAGAGTTTGATAGGAATATAGTGAACCGTTCTAATGGCTGGTGCCAATTAAGATCGACAAATAATGTATATATGTATTTGTTTTGGAAGAATGATCAGAGATTGAGTTTCACCAGCGGCAGTGTGGGAGCAATCTCTCAAAGTGAGGGGTTTCTTGTGCGTGGTGAGTAAAGATCTAGCCTTTGTGATTCATGTTCAGTTGAGTTATCATGATTTACATCCTCCCAAATACTCTGTCGGGTCGGGGTGTGGGGACCCTTAAGGTTGGGGTTCAACTTGAAGAATGTATTTGTTTTGGATGACCCACAGGTGTTAATTAAGAGTTATCTTAACACAAACTCCATTGTGAAGCGTGTGGTTTATGTTAAAGGGCTTTCTCAATCTTCATACATTCGTACGTGGAATATTAATATCCATATATATATGCTTCCTAAACCACAAGATATATGATGATGCATGCATGGATATACATTGGCTAGCTGGCCCCTTCAATTCATTCTTAATTAATTATATGATGAGAATGTGCATTATGTATACGTTGAAACTTTATGAACCAGAAGTTGATTGATGTTATATGAATTGAAGGAGAACAGCTAAGTGGCATATATATCACTAGTCACATTGATCTTAACCTGTGAGACGATCGATTTCACATAAGACTTATTTTGATTTGCATTTTATATTAAAAATACCACTCAATACAGGTTCCATTCTAATCATTTTATTACCTTATACAACTATCTTTGTTAATTATTCCTTGTATTAACTTACATGAGTATTATTGACAATTTGTTTGTAAAATATTGATCCAATATAATCAAATGTATGAGATGTAAATATGTAATTATATATTGTACAAATCGACACCATATTGAATAATATTGTGGGTGTGTAATATATTACACTTTCCAACCCAATAAATAAGTAAAATATATAAAAAGCAAAAGAGGCAATCAGTCAGTTAACTGTTGATGACACACTAATTATCGCGACATTAGATGCCCATGCTTGAACTCATCAACCGACAACGTTGGACCCACGTCACATTGGGTTGTTCCTCCAACTGCCGTGATCCAACGCTCCTCGATTCCGTCGGTAAGCCCGGTCAGCAACAATCTGGTCCGTCCATTCCCGGACCACCGTATCAATTCGGGCGGCTCTTCTTGTCCCTCCATTGTTCCCCCACTCCACTTCAATAGACCCGCAACTGCCGGTCTTCTAATCAACACCCTAGCTGTATCTATAATCCCCTTGTCCCCGCACCCAATCCCACCCGCCTCCTCCGCTTTCGCAACACGCGCGCCATTAAACCTCGTCACAATAAGTGTAACTTTTGCACTGTGATTGTATGAGTTAGATCATGTTTGGATGTCCACAAAAAAAACACCACATCAGTGTAATTCTCAATAATGGGACAGACACCTGATCCGAAACCATCCGAAGAAGATCAACGCTTACTGAATGGAAACATTTATCCAGTACCAGCTATTCAAAGGGACAATTATGGTGAATACCACATTTAATGTAGACTCACTCATTACTTTGGAACCATTACTTGAGCAGTAATTATGGTGAAATACCACATTTAATGTGGACTGGACTCCCCATTACTTTGGAACCATTACTTGAGCAGAAGAACGTTGGAGGCACTAATATAAGTAGGCCACATTTAATGTGGACTGGACTCCCCATTACTTTGGAACCATTACTTGAGCAGAAGAACGTTGGAGGCACTAATATAAGTAGGAGACTCTTCATTTTTATTTTTATTTTTTTTGAAAATCAAAGACTATTGCATTAATTTAAATCCGCAAGAAGAGAATTACAAATGATAGATGGAGGATTCGAAAACCACTACGAGCAATCAGACAAAGAAACAGACTGCCTAGCTAACAGATGAGCCGTCTAATTTGCAGATCGCTTAGTGAACACTAAACTACTTTGAGCAAACAAACTCATTAAGTTTTTAATATTATCTAAAATAACATGAAAGTAAGTAGGAGACTCTTCATTAAGCAGAACATGTTGAATATTTGTACTGAAACTCTAAAACAATACAACTTATTTACTTTCATAATATTGTGCGATTATATATTTATCGTCACTCTCACTATAATTGTCAAAATTTAATATTGTATTCTTGCTCGCAATTTACCAATAAGAACTAATTAAATTGTTCGTGTGTGTCATTAAACGAGGCGAAAGGGTTTGTTGATTTCATCCGCGTAGCGTGTTGCGCCCACGATGCGCGTGAGAGGCCTTACATCGTTTGCTACGAAATGCATGCACATAGGGCATAAGTCGCCCAGATATTGTCCCACCTTAGTTATCCTATAAAACTCCTGCGTTGTCATCCTCCATTTCCACACCAAACTACAACTTGCAATTTGCGTATTGTATTCCTCATCCGAGAGAAGCAGTCAACAACTCACCGGAGATTCGCCGGAAAACTCATCAAGTTTCAAGCAGTTAGTTCCGATCCACGTCTTTCAATTCCTATCATCTCATCGAACATGGAGAGGGCGGCGACCTACGACAACGACGATCTCAACCTTAAAGCCACCGAACTAAGGCTAGGATTGCCGGGCACAGATGAACCGGAGAGAGAAACATCTCAAAACTCAAGAACCAAAAAGAGATCATCATCGGAGATGGGAGGATGTTCTTCCAGCGACTCCCAAGACGACCCTGCCCCTGCAACAAAGTAAGTTCAGAATTCTTAATTTCTTCAATTCGCACCACTTTTTGCGTTTATTGATTCTATAAATTGAAAAGTTGATAGTTAGATTGCACATTAATAGCTATATGCTCACACTATATACGTTGCGGTGTCGGTGTACTAACCAGATTTTTACTTAAAAACTTTCAGGACACAAGTTGTGGGATGGCCACCGGTTAGGTCCTACCGGAAAAACGTAATCCAGGCACACAAGTCGCCGGAGACGACGACGGAGATGGGCGGTGGGATTTACGTGAAAGTGAGCATGGACGGAGCCCCGTATCTAAGAAAGATGGATCTAAACGTATACAAGAGCTACCCAGATCTAGTGAAGGGGTTGGAGAAGATGTTTAAATGCAGCAGCAATATCTGCGTTTACTCCGAGAGGGAAGGCAATATGAATAACGGATCTGACTATGCTCCGACGTATGAAGACAAGGACGGCGACTGGATGCTCGCCGGAGATGTGCCGTGGGAGATGTTCGTTAACAACTGCAAACGCCTGAGACTCATGAAACTGAAGGATCTGAAGCTAAAGGCTTAAGATCAGACTGTAAAACAACATATATATTATATATTATATATAAATATTTTCAGTTCTTAAACTCGGCAGACTCTTTGTAAACACATGTTCAAACTGTATTGATATTGAGAAATAGATAGTGAAAGGAATAGTATATTACAATATTTAGTGCAAAGCACAATTATAGTTCTTTGTAGGGTTGAACTGATCTGAGTTGTGACCCATAATATCAACAAAAACAAAAACAAAAACAAAAACAATTCTCTTCAATTGTTGTCCATCTTCATAGAACTTATTGTCTCTCCATCTCATTTTAATCTAATTAATTTAATATTAACAACAAAAAATATGAAAAGTTCTTACATATACAGAATTCTAAGGCTCTAGCCCCTCCAGAATAGTGATCTGAAACTTACCACTTGCGTCAAAAGATATAGTTAGTAGCGAAAATAAAATTTTATTTTCTTCTATATTATCATCACATTTTTGAGAAGTTCGGTGGTGGACTTGACCTTTTAGCGGCCTCTACCTAACAATCCTCTAACCACCGGATGTTAGACTTGATCTTTATCGGCCTACGCCCAACACCCAAAATTTTCTATAAGTTTATATTTTCAATAACTATATCAAAAAAGTGGGTCAAACTCAACCAAATTGGTTGAATTGTTAACTTAGTAACTACAATGTTTCAAGTTCAAATTCCAGTGGGAGGTGATTACCTCTTGATTCTTTACCCGGTTCAAGGTCAGATTTACTTAATACACATTCTCGAGATGTGGTAGCGAATTTTCCCTCGTCACTCAAAACTCTATATCAAAAAGTTTATTAAATAAAAAAAAATAGAAATAAAAAATACTAACAGAAAACAAGTGAAGTCCATAATATATAAAATGGGCCAGAGAAAATAGGTGTTTTTGGGCTTATGGCTACAAGCAAGGGGAAAGGGAGTAGGCTAAAGCCCATATTAATCTTGGGGGGATAGTTTTGTGGCCCAATGGGCTTTATTATTGTTGAAGAGTTAGACAAGAGAGTGAAGATCATGTCCAATTCCTTCTCTCAGCTCCAAACCAATCGTTATGCCTTGGACTCGTGTCCAGCATGCTTGCTGGACACGGGTAACAGTGCCGTTAGGCACTGTTATCTCCTTTTTTTTTTTTTTTTAATTTCAGATCACTTTGTTATAGAAGTATATGTTCACAATTTTATTAGTATATGTTAATAACTATACATTCATAACTCCATAACTGTACGTTCATAACTCTATAACTGTACATTCATAACTCTATAACTGTACATTCATAACATCATAACTGTACATTCATAACTCCATAATTGTACATTCATAATTTTCGAAGCTCTATGTTCACAATTTTAGAGCTCTATGTTCATAATTTTATCACTATATGTTCATAATTGTAAGTTCATAATGTTAGAGCTCTTTGTTCATAATTCGATCAATAACTGTACATTCATAATTCCATAACTGTAGATTCATAATCTCATAACTGTAGATTCATAACTCCATAACTGTAGATTCATAACTCTATAACTGTACATTCTTAATCTTCGAAGCTCTATATTCACAATTTTAAAGCTCCATGGTCATAATTTTATCACTATATATGTTCATAATTGTAAGTTCATAATGTTAGAGCTTTGTGTTCATAATTTCATAATTGCATAACTGTACATTCATAACGGCATAACTGTACATTCATAATCAAAAAAAAAAAAATAACGCCGTTAACGACAAAACACGCGCGAAATTTTTTTTTTTAACTAAATGACGCGTTTTTTTTTAAAAACGACGTCGTTTTGGGCCCGTGTCCATAATTCAATGTGGACACGGGTCCAGAGCATAATTTGCCGCTCCAAACTCTCCAATTGTTCCTGTCGAATAAGCTCGCTCCGTTGCCGGAGAAGGAAAATGCTAGCTCGTCTAGCCGTCCGACGCCGGCGGATGTACGCCAAACTTTCCGCCATATATATCGGGCATCTTCTCTCACATTTCCTTCCATTCGTCGGTACGTGTCTAGTTCTTTCATAAAATCCGTAGTTTTCGTTTGATTTCTTTTAAGGCTTCGCGATCGTTCTGCTGCAGTTAATTATGTGAGTTTAAATCTGCTTTGTTTAGTGTTTTGTTTTGTTGATATGAATAATTGAATCCGTAATTGCATTTTTGTTTTTGTTTTTGCATCGTTGCACCTGGATACTCCCTCGATTTCTGTTAAGGCTTGGCGATCATTTTCTGCTGCAGTTAACTATGTGATCTTAAATCAGCATCTTTTGTTTAGTGTTTTTTTTCTCGATATGAATAATTGAATTCGAAATTGCATTTTGTTTTTGTTTTTGGCTAGTAGCATCTCGATGCTCCATATAACTACCCCGATGTGTCTTGGGAGTCTTCAGGGGCAAACACTAGAATGTTAACCTTTTTAGAACCCTATGAATGTAATGATGCTCTCTATGTTAACATTTTATCAGCACCTTGTTGAACCTCGATGTTATTTTTTTAGTCAGGTGAAGGTGATATTACCTTGCTATACATCCAATTACAAGTGATCTGCAGTGATTTGTTTGCTGGATCATGCACATCAGCAACAATGGGGATGGCTTCCTGTTTCTGCAATGAATGCAGTATGTTGGCATGTCTTATATTGTAATCAATGTTTAGTATCATGCATTCTTATTTTAAATGCTACTGAGTAATTTGTCTATTCTAAATGGAATCAGTGCTGCTGTGCGCCTGTGCCAACTGGAAAAATGTAGCTTATGCTTGACTAAGACTGATAGTTAACGAATATTTGTTCATTAGAAGTATTTTGCTTTATTGTTCATGTTAATGGATTGTTTCTATTGCCTCAATTTTAAGAAAGATTAACGAGGCTGATTATATTTACATTAAAATATAAACATTTCTTCTTCTTTTATTTATTTATTCCTTGGAATGTTTTAGGTGGCTAAGATCATTGAAGTTACTCCTATTGGTGTATATTGGGCTGCACCCTTCTATTCCATTTTCTACAGATCAAAGGTGGGTACACTAATTAACTTTTTGCTGGTTAAGATAAATAAGGCTAGTTTCCTTTTTGCTCCTTGAACTTACTCTATCCCTTTATTATCCATTTTTTGCTCTCATTTGCTTTCCCCTAATTTTCTACTCATCCAAACACAGAATTAGTCTGGAGTCCCCTTCTTCACCTCTGCTATGAGCCTATATTGTATTCTGTATTTCCGTTTACTTATCGCCAGTATATTGTTGGCCTGAATACAGGATCATCTTTTTTTATGTTTTATTTTTATTTTTTCCATTTATTACAAAGGTGCCAGATCCATGTATTCATTTCTCATATATTCTGGTTATGGCATGTTAACAAGAATGCGCTATTTTTTTCCCAGTATTTGAATAACATATTGATTCATTATCTTGAGAGAGCTGGTTGCCATCTAGCATTTAAGGAGTTGGATCTAAGTTCTTGATTTTAGTTTTTTTTTTAATATTATAATTTTGAAGGGGGGTGCTTAAAAAATGCTCCAATGATATATGCCATAATGGTTGCTGACTACTCTAATGGATCTGACGAATATAACTTGAACAATTATGTAAGTAAATATTATGCTGTGCTATTACATAATAGTTATAATTTGAAGTTGCTTTGCAACATTTTTGGAGCTTGTTCTTGTAAAGTCATAGTTATGTGGCTCTTAATCCATGTTGATATTCCAATTGCCACGTACTGCGTGGGGAGTGCATGCAGATTTCATATCTCTCTTCTCCAAGCAATGGCATAAGTCTCTAATCACCACAAATGACGCTTTGTATGTAGAATAAATACCTTGTCTGATTATTACATTTAATCATCGATTCATATTTCATTCATTATCTTATTACACCTAGCATAGTTTTCTCCCTTATGTAATATCTTTATTACATTATTTTATTACCATAATCTTGTCCCAAAATTATCTGTCTTTGACTCTTTTCCCTTAATTATATTTTTCAACTTCTCCCTTTAATTCTCAATTTCAATTATTTGCTTCCGCAGGAACATCCAAAACGTGCTATACACAAATTGGTGATGGGTGAAAAGCTAGAGGTTAGGATTGTGAACTGAATTGGATTATTCAGAAGATTAGAGCCTCTGTTCATAATGGTATTATCACATTACTAATTGAGATGCTATGCTTATCTATGTTCCAGCAGGGCACACAAAACCCGCAACCTGTGAATTCTGAACCTGGAGGTGGGAATACTACATTATTAGGGGGATGACGTAACGCAGATCCTTACTAATAAGATGGCTTTCTTCATCCTCTCCCCAATGATTCGATTTAAATAATAAAACCCCACTCATAAGCCAACCACGCACGCTTGAAGAAAACAGAGGATAGTTGATGCCTGTTGGACTAAAAAATCCAACTTTTTCTATTCGTTCTTACACTATGAAATACATTACAACTTTTGCAAAATATATATGTATGTAGGCATCCATCCCTTTTATCGGGCCCCAACATCCACTAACACAACCAGAGTCCCCACTACAAAAGCGCTTTCTATCATCCACCACTACAGCCCCAGTCCCACCACGGACTATAAAAATTTGTAAAAAAATCGTGCAGCATATCAAGAGTACTTTTGACAATATTTCCTCCACTTAAATCTATAGCAAGCAAAATAGCAAAATATTTGGTTATTTTTAAAATACGACATCGAACCATGTCTTGAATAAAGTCGAAAGATAAAGGCAAAGGTTGGGGCCCTGGCATATCTGACTTTGATTTCCATTTTGAAACGTTCATTAAGGGCACAGGGTAGCAGACCTGTTGGGTTGGAGCAATTTGTGATAGGACATCCTGGGCATCTTTTGTTTGTAAGGATTCACGAGGGGGGATTTGTTTCAGGCTTCACCAGTGGTGTAGTGTCGGGGGCCTGAGAATGGTAGATTGCTGACGCAAGAGAGATTGGCATGATGCACAGTGCCTTGGATTGAAGAAATTGCATTGCTGCTCCAACGTTTTCTTCCATCAGTTTAGCTACCTGTCGTTCTGTGCCATCATTTGACCATTTCTCCCAGGCTGGTTGAGTTCTTCCTGCTTCACTGCCCCCCTCTTCCTACAAACATATAAGTTGTGGATACTAATACATTCTTCAATTCATACACATAAAGTGTGGAAATTTATTTTAACTCTAAGCGAATATTACCTCAACCAATGATATTGGTATGTCAGTTACAAGTGGTGCAACGGCACCAGCTCCCCCCAATCTGCTCATGCTCAACACCTGTGTAATTGTACGATAGATTTAATACAAAGACAAGTAGTACGGTGTACTATATTTCCACAATGCAAAGCACATTCCTTTTTCAGGAGAGTACAGATCCTTCAAAGCAAAGCAAAATATTATTGTAATCATAACCATCTCTTCCATTTTAAGAATCACAACCGATCTACACCATCCATTTTCTATTTTAAGAATCACAATGTAATCCGTACCATCCGAGATAGTACATAATTAACATTAACAATCCATCAAAAACCATCAAGATTTTGAAAATCAATATTAAATTATAGGTACAAACTTAAAACAATGGAAATCCAGTTCTCAATTACAAAAGGAATCTAGTGTAGAACCAGCAAGTTTGGACCAAGTAGGAAAAGAATAAGGCAGACCCAACAAATGAAATATCATTAGATCAAAGCAAAGAGCATATTCTTCCATTATAGACAAGAGAGAAGGGGAGCACCACAAAAGAACTAATTAACTTCTCATTAACTATAAATAAGTCACATGAAAAGATCTTGGGGAGAGGCAAGTGGGTTGGTTTACCTTGACTTGAAGTCTAAGGAACTTCACATAATCCACGATTTCATCAAGCATGACTGCTCTATCAGTCTGCACATGGAAAAATGAATAAATCTATGAATAGGATATAAATACATTCAAACTAATACTAAACAGAAAATAAGGCAGGATTATGGTGTTTTCCGTTAGACAAAATACAATGGCCATTGCACATGTTTCCAGAGGATGCGGGTGCCCTTGTGTGCAAATGAGTAAGAGTAGGCAGGTCAATGTATGTATTAAATTAATGCCCAAGCAAAAAAAAACTTGATAAAAAGTTACTCTCTCGTGTGATGGTATGAAACTAGAATACTGGAACAGTAATCTCAAACATATCCATATCAAAATGTGAAGGAGGAACAGATAAAAATACAGTTTGATCCTGCATCTTGTTGCCTCAGAAATGATATCAACCACCTGGAAACATACTTGAAATCTGGAAGGAACCAACCCTAATGTGTAAATCTATAAAACTAAAGTAATATTTAAGAGTTGACATCTCCAATGATTGAGTTTTGGAATATAGGGTTCTATCCTCTCCTTTCATAACAAGACTTTACCACAGTTGAGCTTGATTGAAGTTATCAAAAGAAAGAGAAAAGCTGACCTTATTAACACTGGGAACCAAATCTTGCAACGCTCTAATTCTTTCTGCTATTCTTTCCCTGCGTAACTGTGGAAAAAGAATAAATACACAAGTCATAAATATACATGAAATACACAAGTTGTCTTTCTAGGAGGCATACCCTCTCGGCAATACTATGTGGATCAGTTGCCTGTCCTCTTCTTGCCCGCACTCTTGGTCGAATTGCAGGTGGATGAGGCATAGCAGGAACCGAGCTTGGCATCAGTTGGCCATGGAAACCCTGTACAAGTTATAGAAAACCATGATAATTTGGACAATTCCTTGGAAACTGTTAGTATTATCATCAGTTAGACACATTATTATTGAAACAAACCCCCTTTTTCCCTAAAACCTTACGTCTTTCCTATTGTAGGTTTCAGAGCGTTCACACAACTTTTAACAGTTGAATTAAGAAAGCAATATATAGCAAAGTTCCACCTATTTTCCTTTCTAATTCTCATTCCGTATTGAGACAGAAAATCCTATTTATAATTCAGCATATTATGATCTTTGTTTAATATAGTCAATAAATACCGATTTGAGTAGTTCCACTGTGCGGCAGAATAAGTGAAATTTTAGTAAAAGTCGAATTCCTATCGGTAACCATGAAAGATGAAATAAGTTCAATTTTAACTCTGTTTCCTTTATGAGCCAAAACTGAAAACTCCACCATAGAACAATCAACAAAAGGAAATTCAGTTTTGTCCAATTCTCACGGCAATCAAGCTGAGGTAAGAAGCATGAAAGAAGACGGATACTTACAGGTTTCATAGAAGAAGAAGCTCGGATATCCATCTTCATGCTCGCTGAGGACTCGTCCATCTTCATAAACTCTCCTCTCCCCTGCTCCAAACTCAGCCCCAGCGGAAACGGCGCAGCGCCAGTTCCGTGAAAAGGTCCCCCGACCCCGCCCAGCCCCATGCCGATTCTAACACCGCCGAGGTGAGCCGAGCCGTCTCCGGAGCTTAGCTGGAGCATCATCGGAGCCGCGGCAGCCGTTCCCGCCAAGCCTCCAGCGCCGTTTCCCGCCAAATTGGCATCGGCCGCGGCATATGCCGGAAACCCTAGGATTTGGTCGAAGAAGTCCTCGGAAGATCCGTCCGTGGGATTGTTAGACATTCCGGTGACTCGAACGTGCGAATGTCTCCTGGATCGACGAGTTCAACGCGACGTGTGCTCCCAAAAGCATCGACCGGTGAAGTTTAACCGCACAGTCTATGTATATATGTATATTTATATGTATATATGCGCCCGCTCTATATATACATATATAGAGAGAGAGAAAGTGAGAGATATGGAGGTCTTGGTTTTTCGGTTTCCACAGAGCAGTGAGAGCAGGGAAGAAAGGAGAGCAAATGGTGTCGCCAAAAGCTTGATGGCTCCTTTCTCTCCCTTAAAAACAACTTTTTCCACTTTCAGCTAAAAAGGTTGTGATTTTACTGTTTTCTCCCCGGACTTATTTTCTAGTGCCCAATTCAATTAATAAAATGTATTCATTTATTTATTTTCGTGTTAATTAATTTAATAATATTGATATTTAATAATTATATTAAACATGAAATTATATTTAAAATTTTAATAAAATTATTTAATTTCTTAAATAATAAATATCCCATAAAAGTATTTATTCTGTTTCAAAATACTTTTGTTAGTTGCTTTCAAAAAATATATATTTTTGTTATGAATATATCTTTTGGAGGAGGCAAAAGCTTGATGAGATCATTCCACGTCCCATTCTTACATCATGTTACAATTTTTTTTCTTGCCTTTTCTTTTTTACCATGACTTTCCAGTTAAACTTTATTTTCATATTACAAATATTTTTGCATCAAAATTCTAATTATTGCACAATATCACCAAATAATTACTTTAGCATTTTGTTATTAGTTATTAACCAAAAATTCTAACACAACAATCGTCACCAATGTCTCTTGAATGCGATATTATTTTAAAGTATATTTAAGTAATGGGAATATACGGAGTGTACCAATAGATTCTCGATCATATCCAACCCCAACAATATATTTTCCAATCTTGGACCTAACCATACTTGAGGGACTAGCGACCTGTGAAACATCACTTTGATCGTCCCATCAGTTTCAATCGACTCAATAAGAACATGTGACATGACTGATCACATTAACTTATGGATAAGCGCCATACATCCTTACTTAGCGGGAGTCTTAGCATGTGTCTTTTATCTATCACTATAAAAGCTGGATAACCCCTTAAAGAAAATGGACCTTCTTGGTAACTAGTCGACCTGTTAAGAGCTGTCATACCAAAATACGCTGATAGATCATTGTACACTAGAACATCATGCATTAATAACATCATCTTATAATTTGCTTTAAGATATTCAATTTGGATTCCAATTTTATTTAAACTATACTCAGCATTTCATTAAATGATGATTAACATTATCAAACAGGTTCTGAATTTATGCTAGTATTGTAAAGATAATTCCTGATACACATTTAAAATTTCATTCAAAAATTTATAACTTATACTCGGTATAAGTGGCATAAATTTTGTCATCATTACCGAATCAACCTAGAATAATCATAATTATATTTGTTGTTGAAATGCATACTTATGAAGAACCGATATGCGTATAAGTCATAGAAAGTATTATAAACAATATCAAATAGTAATGATTATTTGTAGAATTTGTTGTTCAAGTTGTGTGACCATTAGCGTGGACTCAAATGTATGAAGGGTCACATAATTCAACAAAAGTCGCTCTCATGGGGCAAAAAGTCAATTCATGGGACATAAGCCCCCGCGACTAAAGTCCAGAAGCAATTGATTCCAAGATATAACAAAAATAATAAAGGTACGATTATTGGGAAAATCGAGTTCATACACCAAAAATAAATCGCATTTGAAAGATTATGTTCAACCAATTTAACAGAGAAGATCTTTGTAAAAATTAAACATGTGACTTTCTGGTACAAAAATTATTATTCACCCATTTAGGTATATCTTCCATGACAAGATATGAACAAATTAAAGATTAAGCATTTATAAGGAAATTTTAATATTAGGATGAAGATTATAAGGGTTATAGGACTTATATTTATTTGAAACCATGAATTTATAACCAGATTTTAGTACAAAGAACAAGTGTTTATACATACAGAAAAAATCTAGTGGTTATGAGCAAACCAATGTTTAAACTTTCAAATTCACTGGTCCTTTAACTTTCAAATTATTATCATTCGTGGTTTAAATTTATCATTTATGCTCCTTCAATTTTGAAAATTTAACCAATTGTGATTCTCCTGGAAGGACATGGGTGGTTAACTTGGACTGCGGATGATAACAATTTGAAAGTCAAAAAATCACGAGTGATTAATTTAAAAATTTAGGACTAAACGTGACAAAACTACTATACTCGGAGAACCATATGGTATTAAGTCAAATAAATAACTATAACATCAAGCGTTTTAAATGGTTTGGGAACAGAAGCAGAAGCTGGAATGCATAAAAAAGACTGTTCTCAAAAAAAAAAAAAAAAGACACAATCCATTAACTGACAACCCAGAGTGGGACAAGCATATACTAACAAACTGATGAAGACCCTTGACTCCTGGGAGAAGCAAGTCTATTGGCTGCCAAAACACTAGCATTAACTACACAACTATGATTTGATCATGCCTGCTTACTTAATCCATGCAAGCCTGGAACCATACTGGAATCCAGAATAAGCTATAATAATCCGGCCCGTACGAATAGCTCAGTTGACTCTCAGGAGATGACACGCCAAAGATGCAAAGTCAAATCTTGTCAATTGCAGTGTGAAAGTTACGTTCACCCTTTTATATGAGTAGTTCCTTGTGGACCACCAGACACTTCCTCCCACTTAAAGGGTCACTGAATCACCGTAATTTATCCTTACAATGAAGTCGAATCTTGTCAATTACAGTGTGGAAGTTCACCCTTTTATATGGGTAGTTCCTTGTGGACACCAGACACTTCCTCCCACCTAAAGGATCACTGAATCACGATAATTTATCCGTACAATCTTTTCGGACTAGGATGTGGGGGTCCTGGGGGAGAGATTTTCCCTTTTGCATTTCTCCTCATCAAGTCCACATTGGCAATTCCTTATGTATCCTACATTTAGATGTTGCCAGAAGCCATTATGACAGCAAATCATGTCACTGAAAAACCATGAAGATTAGCACAAACATATATAGTTGGAATGAAGAGTATACTAAAAGTTTAGGGATGTTTAGTTTTCACATCATCACCAATCATGGTGCAGAACTGAGGGCATATTGCCATATTGCCATCTATATCAAGTTCTTTTCCATAACTACTATGGAACATATTAATTAGACTGACAATTGACAAAAAGACTTTTGACAGTATGACTAAGTCCAATAGAGGAATTACACGATTTTGTGAGAATTCAGTGAGACCCAGTAAAATCAAGATGCCACTGGAATTATTTGTTACATGAAAAAAAAAAAAAAAAAAAAAAAAAAGAGTTACGGCTCCACTATAGGTTATAATTTTTGGTGTAGTGGTAATTGTTTAATTCTGACAAACTTCCGAGTTTTTGCAACTTGGCCCGGTACAAAAACTGGTCCCTTGCCAAACTCCTGACCTGCTTAATATACTGACCAAAAGGAACCACCCCAAGCTCAAGTGCCTTGTCTAGGGCCTCAATGGAGTCCTCCATGGCCATTTCCCCAGCCAGACAATCAATGACTCTCTTAGACGACCTCTCATCAACACCTTCAAAAGCATCAACAATGGCATCATCCCCGATCACAGCAGCAAAACGCCTCTCATCGTGAACCTTCAACCAGTTCAACAGCTTATCCGCTTCATCTGTCAAATTCTTCACAAGTCGCCTCAAACTTATTCTTTCTCGTTCATGTTCAATCGCCGTGCTGGTTACCATCTCTGCCCGTTTCGCCATCTTGACTTGAACGTCTGAGAGCTCGGCTATCTCCTTCTCAGCCATGGAGCTCAAGTTCATCACGTCGTAGTAAAGGGAACACACGAGTCGGTCCATGGCCTCCCTCTTCGAGAACAGATTGGGATGAGCCAAACCAGAAGACGGGGAGTAACAGAAAGGGTGATAGTGCGAAAACAGCTTAACCAAATTGTGCACAAGGCCCGACAAATTGCAGCCAGGATAGAGCCAGTTCTCGAGGTAAGAACACGTTGTAGCACCCGATCCAGAATCAACAAGAGGATGGTTTTGATAAACCGGACAACTAGAGTTGAGTACAACGTAGACAATAGGAGCCATTTGAGGGTAATTTTCATGCACCAAAACCTTAAGGGGAACAGCCGGGAGTGAGGAAGAGACTTGCAGCTCACCGTTTGCTGTCAGAAGGTTAACAGTGGCGCCATTGTTGTGTATAAAAGCTTCCATGGAAGGTTTGAAAGAAGGGTAATCTTGGAGGAGAGAAATCATGTGTCTTCGAATCAAGCAGATTTGATCTGGATCATAATAAGAGAGTGCACAGGGGCCAGTTGTACTGGTAAGTGCAGCTTCTACAAATTCTACTGAAGATGGCTGAATTGAAATGGTTTGAGAGAACAGTTCAGAAAGAGATTTGAGGTACTCCATTAAACTAAAGAGTAAAGTCCAAGACTTTAAGGATATATATATATATATATATATATATACATACTAAAATGGGTTCAGATTTTATGAACATATAAAATGACTTTGAAGGATTCAAGTCAATGTTTTGTAAAGTTGTTAATTGCATGTTAGTTGCTTGAGACTTTTCTTGATCTGTCATGTGTTGGACCAACTTGAACTTAGTATAATCAGATTAGATGGATAAGCTTGTTCTTAATAGCTTTAAAAAAAAAGATATAGCTTGCTAGTCAAGAATCACTATTAAAAATGTAATGAAAAGCCTCTGATATACAATACTTTCTGTGGTAATAACAAACTACGACAGTTTTTCAAAAAAAAAAAAAAAAAACAAAAACAAAAAACAAACAAACAACGACAAAAACCAAGCAAGAACAACCCTAGGAAACCGCAAACTTAGTACCATACTACTACTTGTCTCTGACAGAAAAATCAACACGTCGAAACAAAAGCATGATATATCCAGATATTTGTCATGGGGCTGACACAACTTGGATCGACTGCAATGCAGCTGACATGGTAACAACGGTATCACCTGATTTGATCATCCCGCTATCCTTCAGAAAAACAAGAGCCCTACTTAAATCTTTCTCCAGATTGCCTGATAGTGCAAGCTTCAGAGGTGTTACACCCCAGTGCAGGTTCAGACATCTTTGGACAGGTGCTGATTGAGTGAAGGCAAAGATTGGGCAGTTTGGCCGCCCACGGGACAGGAGAGATGCCATTTTACCCGTTCTTGTGAAAACAATCAGTGCATCCGCTTCCAAGCTGTTGGCTGAAAATACAGACCAACATGAACAAGGTATTGTAAGAATAAACAATCATTCAAGAATAGAGTGGCAGACAAAAGATAAAGAAGAACCTTCAAGGTCAGCTGGTCAGGTGATGGCAGGCAAGGATAGGAAAAAAGGCAGTCTTATTGAATACTACTTGACTAATAGTAGTAATCAAAATGGCCAGCTCTCTTAGTTAATCAATACAGCTAGTTAGTTACATCTCTACAATATTATTACTTTTCACTAATATAAGCAAGCAAATGCAACTATCTCACCGAAGTTAGCTATGGGTACCTTTTAACTTGTTTGTTAGTTAAACCTATTCCCCTCAACAGTATAAAAAAGAATTGAGTGCTCTTGACCCTAATGTGTGCTGTATTAGGCAAGCAGTCACTAAAAAGCTTTGGGTGTTGCAGTTCAGACTTCAGAGCATAAAACTATCAATATATATGCTGTTAAACTTCATTCTAAGCCATGGGAATTACACTTTTTCTTTCATTTCTCAAGTAGACAAGTAGGGAGGAAAAAAAACAGTGCATCCAAGACTGATCAAGCAGAAATAAAAACATGTACAACATATAGAAAGAATAATAAGATAGAGTATGTAATATCACATTCTTCTGGTTGGTGCACATTAGTTTTAGAATGTAATTATGAATTCTTAACAAGCTTAGAAAAGAGTTATCAAGGAATCTTTACCCATATTTACAGCAGCATTGCATAACTCCTCTTGGATGCCACCAGGCAAGAGATGGGCATGGTAAAGTAGTTCAGCAGGCTCCTGTGACTTTTCCTCTCTCATCCATTTCTCAATTCTCAAACTGACACTCTTCAGCACAGATAATGCCTTCATAGGATATTGACCCATGGCTGATTCACCAGAAAGCATCAGAGCATCAGCCTTTTGCTTTACTGCTTCAGAAACATCTGCAACTTCAGCTCGGGTGGGTATAGGGTATTCAATCATCGATTCAAGCAACTGTGAAGCAACAATGACAGGCTTGTTCAGCCCTTTGCAAAGATCAACAATCTCTTTTTGCACTGATGGCACTTGCTCCAATGGTATTTGAGCACCAAGATCTCCTCGGGCTACCATAACTCCATCTGATGCCTGAATGATTTCTTGTAGATTCTTCAAAGAGTCAACACTCTCTATCTTTGCAATTACAGCAACATTACTGCAGTCATCCAACCAGGATAAAGGAATTTAGAGATAAATGGCTCCATATCCATCAAAGATTCTAAAGAAATTACACAATCACCAGCATGATGAGGAATTGAGGATGGAGTACTATCATTAGTCATTACCAATGAATTATCAAGTCATGAAGAATGTTTAATAAACTAAATCCATAAAAGTTTTCACTTAATATAATCTCCATGCTTACTTCTTGTCAGAGTGTGCAGCAACATAACTCTTCAAATCATTGACTGCATCAGCATTTCTCACAAATGAGACTGCAATGAAGTCAACCCCTTCTCTGATCCCAAAATCTATGTCAAGCCAATCCTACAAATGCCAGAAAGATTAGAAATTAGTGAAAGAAATCCATCTTCTAGGTGTTCAGGTGTTCCTAATGTTCAATATCCATTGCCCCTGCTTAAAAAGCAATAAAACAAGGCATGTGTCACTTACTTTGGAAGAAATTGTAGGGAGCATAGCATTACGCTCTTGAACAAGTCTACCTTCCCTCCAGATAGTAAGATTGGCACATGGTAACAACAATCCAGGATCAATGCAACGACATTTTACATCTGGACCAATCTTTTCAACCACCTCAAACCCCGCCATTCCACCATCCACAACAATTTCATCACCAATTTTAACATCTGTATTTTCAACCAATTAGATGATTAGCTTGATATTCATAATAGCTCTTATTACATGCTACTACTTGATTCTTGGCAGACCAACCTTCTGAGAAGCCATCATAATTCACAGTGACAGTATATTCCGGCAAAGATGAAGTACAGGATCTCACAGTGAAGGTCCATATATCGCCATCCTAAATGTATAATGATCAGAATCATCATTCCATAATCAAACCAAATTAGTTTTAACATCGAGTTCAACTATAGGAAGCACCCAAAATAATAATAATAAAAATTATACTATCATCGAAGTACCTCGGCCTTAATTGATGTTGCACCACCGAGATCATCCATGTGAATCTCACTGCCCTCTGTATCCATCATGATGGCAATGGCTAAGCCCATCTCCTCGTTAAGCCTCTTAACTCTCTCGATCACGCGCCGGTGCCACTCGTGGGTGCCGTGACACATGTTTAAACGAGCAACGTTCATTCCACTGGCGGCGAGTGCCTTAAGCTCGTCGTAACCGCACGTGGCAGGACCAATGGTGCAAACTAGCTTCGTCCTCTGCGAAGCATTCTCCGTCAGCTCAGCAGGAGGATCCATGGTCACCGGAACCACCGGCGTTAGAACCAAAGGCACCGTCCCAGCCACGTCATTGGTGACGGACATTTTGCTTGATTGAGCCTTGACAACATCGGAGACTCTTCTCCGCGAGTCAAAGATGGGATAAGGATTCCAAACGAGCCCCTTCGATAGGTTTCCGGTGAGTGCCGGAGAAATGCCAGCTGAAAAGCTAAAAGAAAGCGACATTGTTTTCTCCGCCGGGAATTTTGAATTTCCCGGGATCACTCGTGGAGAAGACCGGCGCCGAGGGTGTCAGTATACGGTTCCGGCTAGTGATCTGCCGGAACTTTACTGGAATGTGAGAATGCAAGGATGAGGTTTAGGGTTTAGCTATGTCGACGGCGATATATTGGCAAGATTCGAGAACTCCGCCCCTTTGATATAGCTGCGCAGATTCAACGGGACCGGTCGATGTTGGACAGCCTAAAAATGTTGACTCATAATTACAGATTGTATGGTTGAGACTTGAGAAGGTTTTTTTTTCCTCTTTTCTTTTATTTTTTATTTTTTCACTTTTGAAATGACAACTATTGAATCATTTCACATTTAGTCTCTGAAATTCTAACTATTACAACTAGTTTGGTTCGCTATAAAATATTTAAAAAGAAATGGAATTGAAATTTCATGAAAAATAAATTGTAAGAAAATATATTCCATTATTTGGTTGGTGAAAAATAAATTACTGAGAATATGAATTATATTGTTTAGTTGAGTTTGGAATGGCAATGAATAATGAGTATAAGATGGTGATGCTCTAATGACAAATATAACCATACACAACAAAAATAATAATAATAATATAATAATAAGAGTAATTAATAAAAAAATCGTGAGGCTAATCACCTTGTGCTCATATGACATGTAGTGACTCTCTCATATGGGAGGTCGCCTCAGTAGATGCGGTGTTGACTTTTTGTGCTTCAACATAAAGAATGTTGAGACTATATTATGATGAGCTAGGAATTTATTTTTCTCATTCTTATGGAAATCTTTCTCCAATGTAAAATGTTTTTCATCAAACCAAACAACATAAAACATCATTTTCCTTCACTTTTAGAAAAACATTTTCCATGACCATCCAACCAAACACCCCCTTATTTTTAAAAATTTTGGTTTCACAATTAAATCATTTACACATTTGATCTTTGATTATTGACTTTTTCACATTTGGTCCTACGACTTTAAAAATTTTGTCGCATTTGGTCTTCCAGTATAATTTGTAGTCACCGGTGGTTAAAGTTTTTAGTTAAAAGATGTCATGAAAATTAACAACTTTGTTATTCAAAATAAGTATCGACTATTATGCACTCATGTTTACTAACATAGAAAAACAAATTTAATTACCAGTAACGATAAATTAGGCCAAATGATCAAATGTGGCAAAGTTTTAAAAGTCGCGTGATCAAATGTGAAAAATAAATAGCCAGCTTACCAAGTGTGAGAATGAATCGATAATAATATGATCAAATAAGAAATGCAGAAGTGTCAAATAGGCTCATCTACTACTGATAAGTGCTCAATTCTCACCACGAACTAAATTAAGTGTCAAATAGATCCATTTACCAGCTAAATTTGTTCGATTGACTTTTTTACAGGTTGCTAACAGGTTGTCTATTCAATTATTAAAAAATAAAATAAATAAAATAAAAATAAAAATAAAAAAGGAATTTCAGCCACCGGCTGTCCGTGTCGGCAGCCGGTGGCTACGTATTTCACATACAGCCGTGGCTATCCGGCGAGGATAGCTGGACAACCACGGCTGTCAAACATGAGGTC